TTTTTTTTTTTTTTTTTTTTTTTTTTTTTTTTTTTTTTTTTTTTTTTAAATAAATTTTTTTTTTTTTTTTTTTTTTTTTTTTTTTTTTTTTTTGTGAATGTTTATTTTTAGTCCAATTTGTTATGAATGTTTTGTTGTTTTGTTTTGTTTTTAGTATTTGTTATTTAGACCTTTGCATGTTTTTTCCTTTGAAATGTTTTATGCATGCAATACGTGTGTGTGTGTGAGTGTGTTTTATAATTATAATAACTTTTTTACTCCTTTTTCCTTAATTTGTGTTTATGTTTGCTTTACATTTACGTTTTGAACAAATGTTTTTTTTTTTTTTGTTTTTGTTTTTTTGTTTGTTCTGCATATTAAACTTTGTTTTTGTTTTTTAATTGAATTGTTTTTTTCTTGTTATTTATTTACTTTACTCTGCTTCTTCATTTTGTGTATATGTATATTTTATTTCATTTGTTTTTTTTTTTTTTGTTTTCCTTTTTCGTTATTTATTAATTTTTTTATTCGCATTTTTAACAAAATTAATAAAAACAATTTTCATTTTTTTGTCACTTACTCTTTGTTTAGTGTTTTTTTTTTTTTGTTTTTATTTATTTTTTATTTTGTATATATGTTAATTGATCAATTTATTCGTAATTTGTAATATTAAAACAATGTAACGTATAATCTTTTATTTTTTTGTTTTTTTTTATTTTTTTTGTGCCTTGGCCACGTTTTTCCACAACTCTTTTTCGATTTTCCCTTCTGCTTTAGTGTTTATATATATATATATTTCTTCGCTTTTCCTTTCTTGGGGTTTTCCTCTTATATGATTTGTTATCTTATAAATCTAACTGATTGCATTTATACAGAGTGTGTTACGTGTTAAAGTTAAGTCGGATTTACGTTTCTTTCCTTCACTTATGGATTGGCTAAAAGATAAGTCGAGGATTGTGTGAGTGTGAGTGTGTGTGTGTTAAACTACAACAAAACTGTCAGATATATCTATCTTAAGATATAGTCTCTTCTATATAAAAGAAATGGTTCAAATGAGAAACTTTGGTTTTAAGCGCAATTCTTTATAGTTAAGTGTTAACAATGTTTTTGGTTTTCTTCTTGTTTTTTATGATTATGGAAGTCAGTTTATATGAAGAAGTCGGTATTTTCAGTATTTTTTTGGTATGGAAAGTTCTTTGAAGTTGGTTTTTTTTTTTTCATTTAATGCGAGAGTTTTTCTTATTATAAATGTAATGCAAATGTTATTTTTATTTTTGAGTATGTATAGTTATTTCTTTTTTTTTTTTTTTTTTGTTTACTTTAATTTGTTTATATGTATATTTATACTTCTTCTTCTTCTGCTAGCGCTCATCTGTTTAATCATCATCTTATATCATATATCATTCTTTGCACGTTTTTCATCTTCTTCTTTTTCTGGTTGACTTACTAATAAATTAAAACAACGCTAATGAATTCGTTTCTTTCTTGTTTTCTTTACTAATTGTGAATGGTTTTATATTTGTTTTTGTTTTTTGTTTGTTTTATTTCTCTGCTAACTTTCTTTGTTGTTGTATTTATTATCAATTTTACTTTTTTTTTTTTTTTTGTAATCAATTATCAATTCGATTTGATGCACACACACTTCTGTTCTGTTCTGGTCGTGTGTTTATCTATATAGAGCAGAGAGCGACTATATGTGTGCCAAATGTAGTGCCGTAGTCAGGGCATAATTCATCACAATCAGACGACGAGCGTTACGCGATAGCTGATTAGCTATGACAGCTTAACGGAATTACTCTAGGTATAGCACGGGGCTATAGTTGATTGAAAATGTTTTTATTTTATTTTATTTTTTTATTTTTTTTTGTAATGTGAGTTTGGTTTAGTACAGATATTATGAACGCTTATCGGGGCACCTAATATATATGTATACACATACATATATACTAAGCTCTCCAGCTGTACGTGTTTTCATAATTTCTGCTTTGAACACTCTAACAAAACTTCAGGAACAATGTGAATGATGATCAAAATGAATTGGGGGGAAAAATTCTCATTATTGTTTAACAATTGTTTTCGTTTCTTCCTCTTAATGTTGTTGTTGTTGTTGGCAGTGTTTCATTTGTATGTAATATGTAATACTTCATTTAAACATACCTTGGTAGACTCTAATCACACGCTGATATTTAAAAAGAGCAACATAAAAGGTAGGTATAGGTATGTGTATGTGTGTGTGTGAGTGTGAATGTGGGTTCATTGCTATATAAAATGTTTTTGGGTGATTTCTTAACTTGTTTCATCTCTTTCTTATTTAGTTGCTACAATGTTTAGTTTAACTACAGTTAATTACGTCATCATCATTTAGCCTGATGATCATTTCATGCATTTTCGTTACAATTTCAGTTGTAGTTTTCATTTTCATTTTCCACTTTTCATATATAGACCTAAGTGTGTTTAATGCCAAATGTTTTTCATTTTTGTGTTTTTCTTTTGGCTGGTTGTGCGCGATTTTCATTTAACGTTTTACAACACTACAAATAACGGCAGTTTTGAAATGCTGATTCGAGAGGGAAAGTTTAATCTTATTTATCATTTATCTCATTCACTTTCTTCACTTATAATAGCCTAATTAATAGATGAATAGAAACAACATATATGGAAGCCATGGAAAGCAACTGCAATTAAATATCGGGTTCATTTCTATAGGAATATACCAATGTGCTCTATAAGGAATACAACTGAGGAACTACACAAAGTATACACAGATACACATATATGTATATATATATGGTGTATATAGTAATATATATATATACATACATTGGCATGTAGTTTGACACGCTAAGAGCTGATTGTAGTTGGCCTTTGTTAGAGATATATATAGATATACCTATGTATATATATATAGTTAAGACAGAAAACTCTCTAGAACGACACAGATAAGATATGTTGGGGATAAAAGAGAATATTTATAAACAGAATGTAATAATAATATAGGCTCAACCTATTTATAAAATTCTACTTTTTATTACATTGTATTAACATAACATAAACATTTTTAACATAAATTACGAAGGTAATCTTAAAATTGTCCGTAAAGAAACTTAATTAGTTGTTAGTTTAAATAAATAATTTTTAACTTGTGCTATATTTTCAGGCAGATGTTTAGAGCTTTAACTCAGGTAAAAAGTTATCTTTTTTGTCGTTCGTCTATAGAGCTTTCACTGTACCCACAAGCCATTGTTTCATTGTTTAGCAATTGGTAAAAATTAGTTTGCATTTCAGGGGACATTTCTTCTTCTTTTTACAACTAAATAAGGCATGCGCTAGGCTGTTTGACACACAAATCAATCGATAACAACAATAATTATAATAATCATAATGGCAATGCTCATGTCAATGATAATGATACAAAATAAATAACAGAAGTACCTTTTTAGTTTATATATATATACATACATATATATACATATATATATATATATATATGTATGTGCTTTATATCGCTTATCGCTTACAACTTTTTTGGGAGCTGTTTCCCGGCCAAAATGACAAATTCGCTAAATGCTACGAAAAAACATTTTCGTTCCTATTGGCTGCTGGAATTTGTTATCCTTAATCTCATTTTTGTTTCATATATATCCTTTATGTTAATGTTGTTTGTGTGTTGTTTGGATTTGTTATTCACTTTGTTGCTTACTTCGCTATTGTACAATGTGCTGTTGCCTTTTCCTTTTACTCTTAATTTTCGCTTTTTCATAGTTCATATTAAGTTTTCTTTTAGATGAGTGTGAAAGTGTGTGGGTTGCGGGGGGCGTGGCGCGTGTCCTGTCTAAAATGCGCTTATTATTGATACCTTTCATTTCATGTTGCCATTTGCAATTTAATGTTAATTTATGCAAGTTATTTGGTTTTGGTTTTGGTTTTGTTCTTTTGTTGCTTTTAAATTCTATCCTCTTCGTCCTCCTCCTCGACCTCCTCGCCGTTCTCCTCGAGCTCCTCCTTGTAGCCAGGATGCTCGGATATGGCATAGTAGTTGCCATTGTAGATGACGCCCAGTTCGCGCAGCGCATCGCCGCGTATTGTCGCCTTTATCGTCCAATTGTAGCAATCATCTGATTCCGATTCACGATCCAAACGCTCCACATCGAGTATCTTGGAGTTGAGGCGCTCCAGTATGATGCCGATGTCCTTGATGCTAAGATGCCGCTTCTGGTCAACAGACAGCTGATCGATCAACAGCAGGAATTTCTCTGTCGTCGTCTTATCATCCTCCATCACCGTGTTCTCCGTCTCACTCTCCGAACTGTCGCGTTCGGGTGCTATATCCAGGAATCGTACATGACCCTTGGCGCCCGACGAGCGTCGCTGCATGCTGCCGCTACCGCCTAGCATAGGATCCATAACCGATGACGACATCGCCAGCGTCGCCTGATGCCCCGCCTGCAGCTGCGGCTGCGGACTGCTGCTGCCATCCTGTATGGGCGACGTGGCCACGCTCTTGTGCACGGCTATCTTTCGTCCCTCCTCGTGCAGTGCACAGCAGTGGAAATCACATTCCGTGGTGCTCGGGCTGCCCGCCCGGCTGGGCGTATGGGCATGATGTGCACACTCTGGCGTATGCACATGGACAGCACCGACGGCGCTATCGAAGGAGCCGCCCTGCTTGGATAGCCGACGACTGCTGCCGCTGCCAGGTATCACAACGCCTGGCGGCAGGACAACTCCGCCCGGATGGTAAATGCTAGCCGGTCCCTCGTCGCTGATCACCGTTATTTGTGGGCTGGCATAGCGTTGCTGTGAGGATTGCGACGACACGGACTTGTTGTCCAGCGAGCTTTGCGCAGAGAGGCCCTTCTTCGAGGGCGAGTATTTGTCGGACGACAGCAACCCGTTGCTGCTGCCCAGGCCGGCGCCCATGCACATGCCTCCACCACCACCTCCTCCCCCGCCGCCGCCACCTCCTCCACCTCCACCTCCTCCACCACCCTGGCGCTGATCCCAGTGCAGTACGACCGTGACACGCCCTTTGTTATCCATAATCTTCCAAGATGGCGTCTCATCGTGCAGTTCCAGTGCATGAATCGTCTCACAGACGATTTTCGGTATAGCTGATATAGCTGAAAGATTATGGAATTTGGAGAAATATGTTAATACTATATACTATACATTATATAGAGAATGTTCACTTACCAGCCTTTATGACATCCACGCCCGTTGGATACCATCGTTCGCCCTGCCTCAACAGCAAGAGTACCGTATTGTTGGCCAGGGTGCGAAAGTATTCGCCATCCTCAATTTGGGTTCCATCACACTCCAGAACAACGCGCACGGGTTCTGAGGCAGGAACCCCCAATTTATCCTTCCCACGCACCAATAGCTCCTCGAATGTACCAACTACGACGCCTTTGCGCACATTTCGCCAACTATCCCAAATCTTTAGTGGTCGCTTGCTGCGAGACTCCTGCGAAATACAGTGGATGGAAGGTTAGAAATCAGTGTTGGTAAATGCAATATGATTACAATATATGGAGCTCATGTAAGTCATGAGTTTCGGAATGTTGGGTATTTGGGGCATTATCTCTGTTGGTAAACAGAAATTAGCTAAGAGAGACCAACTGCCAAAACATAAATATATTCAATTCTATACTGTTCATATTAGGCTCGATAGAAATGAGAAAAATAAGACAGTTTCTGTGTGTGTAGAGCTATATCAAACGGCTAAATGATTCATATGCCTCTTACTAAAATTAAGTAATTGAAATAGTTTTTTTTTCTTTGAAAAACATTCATTGATAAGCAATGCTTGACCTAGGCTAACAATACACATAAAGGACAGGCAAGCTCAATAAATCTTCATTCACCCAGGCGCTATCTCAACTTAAGTTGTCAAAACTAAACAAACCAAAATGACACAAATTAATCAAATTCAATCACATTGCGGAATTGTGATAAATTAGCGAAAGATACATAAAGCAAACATGGGCTGGTCCTAATGAACGCTATAAAACATAAATATTTATATATTTTAATCAAGAAAAGTAGACCAAAGGCTAGAAGTCGCACCTCAATTTTCAATATGGGCAAATTTTACTGTCATAAAATACATCGTTTAGATAACATTTGAAATATTATATATTTATATGTATATGTATGGATAGGGATATTCACACACGTATGTTTGTTGTTCTTTGGGCGTGGGTGTGACACCTGTGTGTGTGTGTATGTGTGTGGGTGCGTGTGTGACAAGTGGGTGTGGCAGGCCCGAGCAGCGTCATAAGTTACGGTACTAATTGAGGTTTGCAGTCGCTAAAAAAAGGGCGCAAATGTCAAGGCCGCTGCTAGCTACAGTTCAAACAGTAGCAGCAGCAGCTGCTGCAGCTGATCTGCACAGCATTAGGCCACACACACACGCACACACATGTACATAGATACATACATATACATATATATGCCCATATTTATATATCAGCAAAGGTAAACGTAACAATTCGCAATTAACATCAACAAATGAAATTTTGAGTTATTTCCACTGAGCATTAACAGCGAGCACAGCTGTTGTGCATTAACAGTGCACTGTTAGCTATAACAGAGCTTTCACTGAAAGCAAAATCAAATAAGAACAATAACAACAACAACGAGAAGAAGAAGCAGCAGCAGAAGGCATGTTTAATATATTGCAAGGACATGAGTGTGGCGCTCCAGTGACCCAGTAACGAGTGCAGCATACGAGCTGAATAACAAGAAAAAAAGAAGAGACACAGAAATACTCTCACACACATAGTGGATTCAACACATACACACACATACATTTAAAAGCTATAGCATGTAGCCAGCAGAGTAATAAAAAAAAAAAAAAACTATGAAAAATTACTTGAAATACTTTTTGACGTTTGCTTATTGGACATTTGCGCGAAAAGTTTGCTTTTGTCAAATTGGAGTTGGCAGTCGAGTTGGGATTGCAATTGCAATTGAAATTGCAGTTTGTAGGGAAACTGTAATCAACGTTACACACACAAAAGCTGCGAGAGCGGGAGAGAGAGATAGAGTTGTATGTGTGCTGCATTGGGATAGGTCAAGTCTGCTGCCATATGGCCATCAGCTGCTGCTGCTGCTGCTGCTGCTACTATTGCAGAGGGAGCGCTTTGGGGGCGGGTGCTGCTGCTGATTGATGGATATGCTTTAAACAGTAATTAGTTATTATCTTTGGTTTACCCCTGCTGTTGCTGCTGCTGCAGCATTTGTCGCCGCCGTCGGTCCCGTTGTAATGGCTGTGCCAGCATTCTGATTGGCAGCCGCCGCCGCGGCTGCTGCTGCCGCCACTTGCCTGATGCTCAAACAGTTGCACAAAGGCTTTGTCACGCCCAGTGTGCACAGAGCATTGGACCACATGGTGGCGTTGCAAATGCTCGCTTCACCTTTGCCAGCCACTTTAATGCTAATTCTGATTAGTCCTCTGTCCAATTGAATACAATCCGATTAAGTGACAACAATAACATTAACACAAATTAACATTTCTCTTTTCAGTTTTGACTTTGCTTATGTTAAAAATATAGAGCTTTGGTATTCCCTTTCCTTGCTTTCTTGTTGGTTTAAAAATTGTTATATAAAATGCACACACACATTATTATTTTGTTTGTGTTTGATAGAAAATTATGTTTATAAAACTTTATAAATGCTTATAAGCTTATTTCTAAGTTGAACGCGTTTTATTGTAGTTGTTCTTTAAATGCCATTTAGGGAAAAATTCGTCGCGTAAGGCTACAAAATATTTTTTTTTTAACAAATTGCTGCGCACTTACAAAAAACAAAAACCAATATAAAAATTGTTATTTAGTTGTGATAGAAAATACACTAAATTATGAATTATTGTTATATTCAATAAGAAATCGAGTTTTAGCTTTAGTTTTAGATTTTTCTTTCTCTCCTTCTTTTCTTTTATGGGCCACAGCAGCAGCAGCTGGGCAGAACTGTCGAAGAGTTGAGTTGACCTTCGCACTTTCACTTTACTACACTTGCGTGAGCCTGAAACCGCCGACTTTTCATTTGGTGGGGGGTCGTAGAAGGGGAGGGGCCAAAGGGGCTGAGGCTGAGCCTGAGGCTGGGGCCAGGTGCGCTGAGCCTTCGATTTGATTGCAGTTTTGTGGCACACTTTTTAGTTTTTCATTCTTTCGATTTAACACAAACTTTTTGTTTCGTTTCTTATTGGAATTATATGAACACTAAAAACTTTAGTTTTATTCTTGCTGCTGCTGCGGCTGGTGGTGGTGCTACTGTTGCAGTTGTCACACCCAGTTAAAATTTTAATATTTCAACAATGTGCCAGCGGAATCGCGTAGCCTTTGTAAAGCGCTCGTTAACGAAAGTAGCATCATTGCTGGCTGTGGCTGGCTGCCTGGCACACACTGCTGAACCTGCCTGACTGCATGCATGCATGCCTGCTTGCTGGCTGACTCCCTGCCTCTGTTATTAACAGCAGCTGTTACTGTTAAGCTTCAATTGCTGCTGCAGTATGCAGTGAGAGAGCGCGTAGGTTGTGCGCATAAATGGAAAACGAGAGCGCAAAGCTCGTGAGCGCATATAAATATATATGTATATACATGTGTGTACGCTCTGTTAATGCGTATTTTGTAGTAATTGTAATGTTAAAGCGGAAGCTGCTCAACTGCACTGTGCATTGCGTTGCATTGCTCGCTTGCTCTTTCTCTCTCTCTGTCTCCTACACACACTCTCCTTTGGTAGTAACATCTGTGCTTTGGCCTACATTCGCAATGTGATATAATCAGGGCGCGCTAAAGCTAACACAGCTAACAGCCAACAAAACGGGCGCGCACACACGAACGCTCCACAAGTATTTAGGATTCAGAGGCTCATAGCTAAACATAAATGCCAGAAGCTCTGTCAATTAGGCACAAGCACACATACCCATATACTAACAAACGTACACACAAAGGTGCACAGTCAGATAGAGAGGGAGAGCGACCGAGTGAGCATGCTGAAAACTTGCACAAGGATTTGCAATTGGTTCGCTTTCATTTTCATTTGGTTCGCTCGGCTTTGCAGCAGTTGATTAAAGCAAAGCAGCGCAGTGGGTAAACATTTATTTTTAATCAATCCTTTGAATTAATCTGTTTTATTTGTCAAACTGCAGCTAACAGCTCAAAATAAATACGTTTTTCAAGTTTGCGCTAAAAAGTATGCTATAAAGGTATAAGAAATATACAAACTAAACAAATTTATTTTTCATAAAAGTAATCTACAACAAATCCTGTCGAGTATTGTATATTTTTAAATATAATACAACGTAGTATTATTATTTTAATGTACACAGATGCATATAAAAATACAAATAAAAAAATACATTAATGTTGCTGCTGCTCCGAGAGCAACGGCATTGCAATTTTTTATGCAGCAGTAGCTCTCTCTGTCTCTCTCAAACTCTGTTGTATACTTCCAGCACAGCATTGCCAGCTGTAAGAAAAGCTCACATTTACATTTTACCCCAAACTGTTAACATCTGCGTGTTTATTAAATGAATGGAGCAAAGAAGGTACTATTTACTGAATGCAAGATATCAATTAATTCACAAATTTATACATAAATATAGAAATGACTTAAATGAACAATTCGACGGCTACCCTTGCTAATTTATTATTATATTATATGCATATATATATTGACATGTAGGTCATGCCCACAAAGCTGCTAAATTTGGCCACTAAGGAAGCTTAGATCACATTGAGCATAAGTATCAACAATAACAATATATGTAACGTAAACGTAAAAACTATGTACATTAACAAAAGCTACATGTGCTCATCTAGTAGGGTGTATTACAGTTATTTGGGTCAAAGCTATTCACTCAGCCGCAAAGCAAAGCAAAGCGAAACGAGATGAAGAAACTGCATAAAGCATGCATACACACACATACAAACAAGCGCATATTGATAAACGCGCACGCACACATACACACACACGCACACATACACATAAAATGCTTAACGGGGGCTTAGCCCCAAAGCTAACCCAGCTCAGCGACTAAGTTGAAAACAAATGAGCGGAGAGTAGACAGGCCGGAATTGGGAAACAACTGTAAATCGACACGATTGCTTCGTAGTGGAGAGAACTGTTACTGTTACAATCCAGTGTTATGTTAAAAGTAATGGCAACAACATTGTGTATGTATGTATGTACGTATGTATATATGCATGTATTATATTTTAATTCACAAGCAATGCATAACTATGTGTGTGGGCCGGCATCTACCCACATTTAGCATTTAGCATTTCGCATTTCGCTTAGTCCGCAAGAAATCTCACTTACCTCTCTGGCCATTACGACATGTCTCAAAAGCAGGGCCCGCTCAGAGGGTCTGCCATTTGCGTTGGGTTCAACAGCAGCAGCAACAACACGTCCTCTGCTGCGCCGTTGTCGTGCTCGTTGGCGTTATCGTCGCCGTCGCCGTCGCGTCTGTCGTCCTTTGGCGGCAGCGGCAGCGGCAGTAGCAGCGGCTAACAGGAACAGCAGCAACAACACCAGCAACTGTGCACGGCTTACACTTCTTTTCGCGCATACGAGTCTCTGTGTTTGTATGAGTGTCTGCGTGTGCGTGAGTGTTTGTCTGTATGTATGTTCGCTGGGGAGAACGGCGGCAGTGGGCGGTTGGTTGGTTGGCTATGTATGTGTGTGTGTGGAGTGTGCTTCAAAAATTCTCTACTACACGTTTATTTTCAATCTTCCCGCAACGCGCCGATGCTGTGTGCTGCTGCTGCTGCTTCTTCCTTTTGACGTTCCTTTTTGGCACCGTGCTTTCTCTCTCTCTCTCTCTCACTCTAGCTCTCTATGCCTTTTTTGTGGTGTGTGTGTGTATGTAGGTGTGAGACTACATACGTACATATGTTGGTTGGCTGGTTGGTTGATTCTGCGTGTGTATTGGTATTTGCCTTGTATAAATTGATTATTTATTTAAACAATTCTTCATTTAATTATCGCTTGAATCGCTGCCACTCATTACATGTATTTTATTTGATTTAATTTGGTGCCTACGTACATCTCTATAAACACCCACTATAATATATACACACACACACTATCTCAATATATGTATGAACGTAGGTGCGGCTGCGATGTCGGCGAAGAGTTGCTGTTGGCAGTGTTTGTGTACGTGTGTGTGTACCGTTATCATTTTTATTCAGTTTAAAGACACATTTTTGAATCCGATTTCCAATTAATCGCGTTTTTTGTTTGCTTAATATTTATTGTGCTTCAATCGGATCAAAAACAAATTTGGGCATATGAGCCAAAATCTTGAAGGCGCACACGCACACATATGTACATACAGGAGGACACGCTTAATCTCTTGCTTTGCTTCTATTTTCTAGTATTGGTAGAACCCACGCCTTTCGGTACGCAACTTTTCACTTCTTTCACACCAGCTGAATATTTGCGGTTTCTTTGATAGTTTTCAGAAGGATGCGAGTATTTATATTTGTTGCTCAAACACGAAACTAATATAGTTTAATTACAAAATAAACACATTTTAACAGTCAAAAGTACAGAGCAAACACGCAAATCAATGCTCCACAGAGGTCCAGTACTAAAAACGGTAAATCGTGTCGTTGCTGAACACTGAGTAATGTAACTTAGGAGTACTAAAAATATATCGAGGAACTTTCACTTTACTTAACAGAAATACTGAACACTCAACATAAATACCAAATGGTGGAAAGAGCACCTTGTTTGAAATTAATGTTAAAAACTATCAGCGATATAATTACACATTTACATACAGTTAAAACAAAATTCTCAAAGAATTAAGGGTTTTCATTGAAATATTTTTCAAAAAGAATCTAATAATTAAACCAATTTTAGCACTGACCAGTGATTTTAGTCATTGAAAGTTGTTGTCGCTAAATTTTCGATAACATGCTATAAAGTCGATATATTGGGTTTATTTATTCATCCCTGGACAGCAGCAAGAAACTTGCTTAAATTTTTACGCAAAATTACGTGTCTCGTTTGATAATTAGCAATATGGTTGACAATCTACCACCCCTGGAGCCCAGTCTACAAAACTTGGTCGAGCAAGAATCTCTGAAATGGATATTTGTAGGCGGTAAAGGCGGCGTGGGGAAAACTACTTGCAGGTGAGTGACAGAGACATTCACTAATGGCAACAACAACAACAACAACAACAATTTTAATGCTCTGCAATTCTAATTAAACTATTCGCAGCTCCAGCTTGGCCGTGCAATTGTCAAAAGTACGCGAATCTGTGTTAATTATCTCCACAGATCCGGCTCACAACATATCCGATGCATTCGATCAAAAGTTTACCAAGGTGCCGACCAAGGTAAATGGATTTGACAATCTGTTTGCCATGGAAATCGATCCAAATGCAGGACTGGGGGAACTGCCCGACGAGTATTTCGAGGGTGAGAACGAGGCGTTGCGAGTCAGCAAGGGTGTAATGCAGGAGATGATCAACGCGCTTCCCGGAATTGATGAGGCAATGAGCTATGCCGAGGTCATGAAGCTGGTGAAGGGCATGAACTTTTCTGTGGTCGTCTTTGATACGGCGCCCACGGGTCACACACTGCGACTTATCGCGTTCCCACAAGTCGTGGAGAAAGGTTTGGGCAAACTGCTGCGCCTTAAGATGAAGCTGGCACCACTACTCTCACAATTCGTCTCCATGCTGGGCATGGCTGATGTGAATGCCGACACGCTGTCACAAAAGTTGGACGACATGCTGCGTGTCATAACGCAAGTCAACGAACAGTTTAAGAATCCGGTGAGGATTAGGTTAACTAACATCATAAGCATATATCTAACGCTCTTAACTTTCTGTGTTCAGGATCAAACGACTTTTGTTTGCGTTTGCATTGCCGAGTTCTTCTCTCTCTACGAAACGGAGCGCCTGGTGCAGGAGCTAACCAAATGCGGCATCGATGTGCACAATATAATTGTGAATCAACTGTTATTTTTGGACAAATCACATAATAATTGTAGCATGTGCGCATCACGTTTCAAGATCCAGGAAAAATACCTTGACCAGATCGCAGATTTATATGAGGACTTCCATGTTACTAAGCTGCCGTTGCTTGAGAAAGAAGTTCGCGGACCGGAAAGCATTAAATCGTTTTCAGAGAACCTTATGATACCCTACAAGCCGAAAGAGTAGCCAATGCTGCTTCTTGCTGTTCTAGTTGTAAGCATTTTGATGAACTTATTGTACACATGTGGTTGCGAGATATAAAATAAACCCAATTATACTCTGATTTATAGTACATTTTAAAGAGGGCGCCGGTATACTATAAATCTATCGATGTATTGATTAAAAAACAAAATCTCAACGGGGTAACACCGAAACCGTTGTGGGTACTTTAAAAGCAACGATTAATTTAAGTGCTTAAATCCAATGCTGTCGGCATTTCTATAATAACAGTATCTATATTGATTATTAAGTGTTATTAATTAAACTGAAGTGCGATTGTAAAGTATTTTAATTGCGCTTAATTGTTATATGCATTCCAGTAGTGTAACACTGTAACTTGAATTTATATTAGCTATCGATAGGCATTTATTTGAATCTTGTTATCGTTGTCTTTAGTCATCACTAAGTTTTATTTTGCGTCGTTCTTGCTGCACACAGCGCTTTCGTATTTTTGTTTTCCCCGTGCTGTTTTTTAATTGTCCTTGATAAATGTAACGCTGCCACTTATTTCCATAAATTCAGTACGTTGGCTTATTAAATATTTATAACATTGGCCTACTACTCCTGCTACTGCTGCACACGCGCATAGATACCTTTAAGTATTTCTGAAGGATTTCTAGGACAACAACAACGAAGACTAACAGGTGAGTGAGTGAGTTAACTGTTAATTGAGCGCCAAAGTTGTACTAGGTTTGTCTGTCTGTGTATGCGCGTGTTTGTATGACTGTGTGAGTATATGGGTATATTTGTTTGCTTGCGTCTTGCAATCAATAATACAACAAAGCCACCCCCTTCCCCATCATTTCCGCTGACTCCATCTCCCTCTTTCCCATGATGTGTAATAATAATAACTACAACAGAACCAAGTGCCATATAAAATGTATATGTACTCGATAAAGTTGTACCACATACAGGCATATGTATACACGCTGATTGTTGTGGTTATTATTGTTGTTGGTGTTGTCAACTGCCGCGTCGTTTCCGCATTTCCCTTTATATGCACTATGAGCACATCCGCTCGCCACATTTGTCCTTCAGTCAGCGTTAGTCGGACGTAGGCGCAGCCCGCCTTCCTTGCCTTGTTGGCCATATCATTGCATATCGCGTGACCTTTAGCCATTTCAAATATGCATACATACTATACAGATATATATATGTATATGGCTATAGTATGTTTGTATGTATATATAGCCTAGAGTCTAGGGTGCTTACTTAATTAAATTGGCCGAATGGTCGAGCGAGTCTGAGCCCCATTTTGGGCTGGCAGCTCCATTTATGGCCAACAGCACGTATGCAGCAGAAGCCGTTAGAATAAGCTAATGGAAAAGCGAAAGAAAAAATTGAAATTCAGTCACAATTCGGTGTAGCTGTAAACGTCTACAGCTCTAAATTATTATCTTTGTGACAGCCCTTTATCATTAAAGATAGGCCTGTCCAATATTTGGTATGTCAGTGGAAATTACTCATGTTTATAAATACATATATATAAAATTATACATCTTTATCAATCTTTAACGCTTGCATTTGGATGATAAAAGAGCTGCCAAAATGTCTGTGGCAGGCTTAAGACAGAGCCTTTTGCTCTGGAGTGTTGATTACTGGAATCTTGAAGGTATGGAGAGTTCACATTGCGTCTTTGGTTTGATTTTCAGTTTGTTATTAAGTTTCACTTTTCTGCTCAACACATTTACAATTCAAATAAGATAATGCGTATCAAACTTTATTGCAGCTGTTATGGCGGACAATGTGTTCAAGTCGCACGATATTGGGTTACGCGCTCAAAAGAAAATACTCTCACGCATGGCAACAAAAAATATAGCGAAGACCTTTATTGACGGCACAACGGCTTCATTGTTGGATAATCTCTATAAGCTTTGCAAGCTGCATACGGGCAATAAAGCGCGCGCCGAAAAGCTTGTTAAAAACATAATCAAAATTGTTATCAAAATTGGTGTCCTGCATCGAAATAATCAATTTAATCAGGAGGAGCTGCAAAATGCCGAGAACTTTAAGCGAAAATTCCAAGTAAAATCGAAATGGATATTTAATTGAATATGTATACTAATTTATAAAGTTTCTTTCTAGAACACACAACTGTCCATCATATCCTTCTATGAGGTGGACTTCACCTTCGATTTAGCATATTTGCAAAAGTCTATTAAGGAATCGCAAGTGGCGCTTAAGTCCATAGTTCAGTTACATTTAACAGATAAATCAATTGGCCGCATAGATGAGGTTTTTGATTTCTTTGCCGATGCGGCTTTATTGGAGCTAGCATTCAAAACGGATTCACCATATCGCGAGGTGATGGGCAAAATTGTAGCAGATATTAACGCAGCCATGGAAACGGGTGATATTTGAGTTGGATGTGCAGAAGTCGAGCTGCATTTGCTTTAGAAAGAGGGGCTATTATCAAACCAAAAAGAAAAGGAAACAACAACCAGATACTAATAGTTAGTTAGAAACAGCCTTCTAAGTCCACCAAATAGCAAGTAAATCACACAAGAAAAAAGACAAACACGCATCGAAAAGCAAACAACAACAAACAACTTTTTTAAATTGAATTGGTGTGATATTCACAATTTAAACAATTAACATTATTTAAGTAGCTATCGAAAATTAGAAAAAAGAAACGTCCAGAATGATTTATTTTAAGGCAATATTAAAACAATTTGTTTAGATTTAAGTAGAAATGCATTTTGCCAAAGGAATTCACAAGCAAACAAACAAAAGAAAAAACTCAGAAATGTAAGCGCAAGCAAAATGCTTTTTATCATCAATGTATTTGTCGTTGATTGTATTTGTAATTTGTAATACGTATATCTAAGTCGTATGTGAAAGTCTGTCAAAATATTGTCTATGTGTAGTTAAATATTTGATACATTTGTGTTTATTCGTCTGTTTTGATATACTCCAAAACTCGCCTTTTGAAATGCAATTATATACTCGCTATCTAAGAACTTATCAGAGACATATATGAACATATAACCATGTACTTAAAAACGTTCCGAAATGACATATATTTTTGCTGATCTCCACAACAACAAAAAGTTATTTTTCCAAACCCTACGCATATTAAATTGTCAAAAAAAAAGATTTGTCTATATGCCTCAGTTTGATAATACCATTTTTTTACATAAATATTTATTTCTTATTATGTATTCCAACCTCAGAGCCAAAGGCCCGTGGTTCAATAACCTTAAGCATTATTTATGATATTCCCAATTGTTTGAAATAGATATTTAGTATAAATACCCAGAACATATCATAAAATGGCTGGCAACAAAATATCAATATATATTACAGTTATATATATATATATATATGTTTGGTAAATGGGACAATAAACTGTTCGCTTAACAAGGAAGAAGAATAAATATTGTCGCACATATTTTGGATATTAAAATTGATGGGATTAAAGTTATAGTTATTTAAGTTTTTAAAACATCGTGTATTTATTTGTTTAGAAAACAAATCTTTTGTTGACTCCCAATAAAAAGCAACGATTATAATTATAAAACAACTCAACTAAAGACTTTAATTACATAAATATTTTACTCAGCGCGCTTTTGTTCCAGAATCTCGTCACCTGCTTTGCCCTCCTCCAGCTTCTGTTGCTTGAAGAGCTCGATGAGCTTCTCGGTAGCCGTTTGTGGTATGTCAAAGGGTTGTGATGCTTCCTTGTTGGGCAGGGTTTGATTGTTTGCGTCGGGTGAGCGTAGTAGAAAAGGTGTCCAGGGTCCTTGTATGGAGGGCACGTCCGTATGCCACATTTTACGTAGACGCATCGAACTGGAGCTACCATTTTGTGTCTTTAAGAGATCTATCCATTTGCTGATCTCGTCTTGTGTGCTGTTTCGACAGCTCAACCACTCGCGATCACCATTTACTAAGGGTTTATAATACATATACTAAATAAGTAATCTCCCATTGGGGTACCGTGACTACTTACAGTATTCACCCACCAACACAGGTGTGCGGTGACGGCGCGGCTTTACATAGACCACAATGCCGGGATTTTCCTTCGCAAAATCCACCAAATGGTTTTCAATGAAATCCCTTATCAAAAAATACATTGTTAGCTATAGTATGTATACGTATTTATTTATTTACGCTTACCGCATGCCACGACTGGAGCCGTTGTTCTTGCAGAACTTCAATGTGATGCGCTGCAGCTGGCAAACGTACCGACCGAGCCCATTTTGTAGGGGTGCCCGCGGAAAACCGGATTTGAGAAACAGATGGCTATTTGACATTTTAAATCGATTTCCAATTGTAATGTAGCTGCAGTTGGTGTTGAAATATACAGTTTCTCAATTTTCGCTACCAAAAACTACGTAACCTCACGCCGCACACAATATGTCAGCTGTTTCTGTTGCTGCTGTTAGACAGGGTTGCCTAACATGACGAAGAGAAAGAAGAGGGCATGTAGCACTGTGCCAAAAAAAAGCCAAACGCCAAAGTATATTAATGAAGTAAAATTATTTAATAATACGTTGGAGGAAAATGAAAAACAAAAATATATTTATTATTTGCTTAAAGTAAAATATAAATGTTCATATTGAACATGCTGATGAGCGCACAGTGCTTGAATTTAATTATATGCATTCAAAGTATTAAACAGCTAAATTTAAAACAAATGCAAATTCATATATATTTATTTTCTTTTATTTTTACTTATAGCGATTAATTGTCAACGCGAAATTGCATTAGCTGATGCAAATACCCACTATACCCGAGGATAGTCAACACCAAAAAACCGGTTATTCTCGTCTGTGGGACACTGTGCGTCTAGCACTTAACAGCCCTGTGTTATTAGCGTCTGATAACGGCGAAAAGCGGCACGAAAGAGAGACGGCGTCAATTCAAATGCAGCAGCGTCGCGTCGTTTTTCTTTGAGCTGTGGAGGAAAAGAAAATATAGAAAACGTGCAACGTGTTAGTGTGTCCTCATTTCCAACAGTTTGTGGTGTCTTATCAGCGAATTATTTAGCACAACAAAACGATAATGGCCACAGTGAGTAAAAATAATAATATACATATTCATTGTAACATTCATGTAAACAAATCGCGTCTCCAGACTATTGCAGGTTCAAAGTACCCAAAACTTCGCATGGCCGCAGCATCTAATGCTGACGATGACGATGATGATGATGATGAAGAGGAGGAGGAGGAGGAAGATGAATCTGGTTCGACTAGCTCGTTTAGCTTACAGGAATGCATTAACGAGTTTCGTGCACGTCGAATCAGACGCGTGTCCACGCAAAGCCGAGATCGCGAAATGTCAGCAGCTGGCGGCGAAGACCAAAAAGGTGTTCCAGTTGCAACCGCTAACACAACCGATGCACATCTAATCAACCAGAATTTGTGTAACAAGGCGCAAGAGCGTAAGGGTAAACCGTGCAAGAATGGCTTCTGCTATTGCTTCACCAGCGACAGTGGCGATTGCGCTTCGACGACGGCGCCGCCACGTGACTGGCACGTGCGACAGCAAAAACGCAGCAGGCGCTTCGAAAGCAATAAGGTGTGAACCGTAATGGACGCCGTCAGATTTACATAGATTTGATTATATATACATACAAAATACTAATTCATGCTTTCCTTCATACAGCTGGGCATCGCACAGCCGCCGCTGAATAATCTAAATGCACAGCAGCAGCGGCAGCAGTCGAAAAGGAGTGTACAGAAGCAACCAGCTGTAATTGCTGCAGGACACACCTCCATTGCTACTAACCCCTTGACGGCGGTCAGCAGCTTGCATGCTGTGGGCGACAATGCGCCTCTCATACACATTATACAGGAGCTGCGTGATAATTGTGTCATATCCGAGGTGCGCGTCAATCGCGATAAGCTATCAGGCATCAATCAATCGAAAAAAACAACGACTACTTCAACGTCAAACTCATCAGCTACATCCTCAAAGCTAAAGGCAACTGCTCCGAAAATGCGTCAATGCGAGGCCGTAACCTATCAACCCACAGCGCCGGCGCTGTCCAATATAAGCGAACACGAGACACCATTAGAGGAAAGCGAGCATCTACTAACAGAGCAAACTAGCCTAGCGGGCGGCAGTTTTCATTCCACTCGCCGCAGTTCACGTCGGAGCTCTAGTGGAGGAAGACTGCTGCAGAAGCGTCTCTCCCATGGCCAAGTGAACTTCAAGACTCACGACATAGAGCAACCGCCGCCTAAGCCACCACGGCGCAGCACACAGAGTCTCGATGATAAATTTTCGTTATCATCTTTGACCTCAACAACGCCTTCGGTGCGGGATGCCGAACGCGTCCTAGATGAATTTTTGCGCAAGCATGGCGTGAAGCTGCCGACAGCTGAGAAAGAAAACTTGTCCAAGACCAAGAGCAAGCGCAAATCCTATCCATTAGGTAAGTCGGAGTTACAATTTTAATGGAAAGGTGTTAGGCTATATTAACTCTAGAATATATACTATAACTAATACGGTAGTTAGCTTAAATAATTTTCATTGATACCAAATTAATATACAACTAAAATTGTAGAAATAAAATGTATGAAACAGAAATTGCGACGATCTTGATCTCTATGTTTCGCTATATATACATATGTATGCTTCACATATTCACAGCTGAAATGGAGAAACCGATGCGTGTCCATCCATTGCCCAGCTGCCCCTCGCTGAGCGACATTGAGCGCGTTGTGGAGTCCAAACGTGGCGCACATTATGCCAAAAATATACACATGGCCAGCAAGAAGAGCGTTGTGGCCGATAAGCCCATTAAGGACTTTACTCTAGGCTGGACGGAGCCCAAGATCAATGATATGCTTAATTATGATATAGCTAAGCGGACGCAGTTTAAGACTAATGCACCAGAGCCAGCTCCACAGGTGGCCAATATAGGTTGGCAAGTGCCGGTGGTGCCCAAGGTCTCATTGGACACAGTAGATGGCGTGAGTGATAATCTGGCCGTCAACATGGAGCAGAAGCAGACGCCTATTAAATATCCACGTCTGCCCAAGCAAAGCAGCCAGAAATTCATTTGGAGCGAACAGTTACGTAGTCTGACGCCTTGGAGTGGCAATAAGCAGCGCACAGGATTACGCAAGAAATCCAAAAAGTTTTTAAATAATTCCAAGAAGAAAATCTTACGATTTGTGTCGCCCAAGAAGAGCAACCAAGAGCAGTTGGAGCGAGAGCATAGCGAACGTCGTCGACCCACTCCTCGCCTATGTACAGTGGGCGTGCAGACCAGCTCTATATCGCAATTGGATTTGCAGTCTCAGTCACCGCCGGGCAGCTATCATTCCCCAGTACAATCAACGCCAACGGCCACTACAAGTTCCGTCCGACAGCCTCAATACAAGGATAGCACCGAGCAGCCCTATTTCGACTTCGAACGCAAGGTAAAGCCACCAAAGCAGCCGCGTGCACAGCGCCCACGCAAGTTGAACTTTCAAGGCAACACTAGTTCGGCACCCGCTGCTACCTATCGCTCATTTCACAAGGATCTAGATCAAGATGTTACCATCACTAAAATGGGCTACTTGCTGGGCAACATACGAGCAAAATTGGAGGCTAGTGATGAGCGCGCCATTCGTACGTTTGGGGTGAGTTGAATATTCATTTTCAAAAATTATTTAAATATGTATATTAATATTAATCAGAACCATGATTTTAACAAGTATGTCTGCTGAAAGAACTAACAGTATAAGCTAGAGACAACATTCTAACGAATGTCCTTTTATACTTGCTGATCGGCTTGAGTCCTTCATCGATAACTTTTTGTACATACATCTTTTGTAAATTAGACTGTTTTATCAATTTACTTATTTACAAAAAATTTGGGTGGTATTTATTACTAGGAGGCATTATTAGGGAGATATTTAAATGCTAAGCCAGAGCAAAGACAGCGCCGAGCGCATAATGATCCGAGCCGAGATAGTGATTGGGTATCAAACCCACATTAGCGCAGCAATTGATTGTTGGCAGTTGATAAACGCTTAATATCTCTAGTTTCTGCCGGCTCTGCTGGCATACAGAGCGCAGAATATAGTCGACAGTGATCCATTCGTTTTGCAGCGTGGACGCTGTGCAGTCACCGCAATTTAATGCCTCAAAGTTAATCGCAGCCGGATCATCATCTTGGCTTAATAGCAGCTGCATGGGTGCCGTATGTAATTCCGAATTAAAATCTCCAGTTAAAATGACGGGCGTTGTATTTTGAGTCGAGTCTGTAGCAAAGCAGCGCAGTTCTGTGAGCAACTTGCTCACCTGGGCACAGCGCACATCAGACCGTCGTGGATTATAGAGCAGATGCGTTGTTGCCACAATCACTTCATTGCAATCCTTGGTAGATTCCTCGGTGCTGGTCGGTTGCTTTAATCGAAACTTGGCTAATATTGCCACATTCTCACGATTGAGCAGTGGGACATTTGGATCGTAGAGCTCTACCGCCTGCTCCTTTAGCAGCTGCAGCTTGCAGGAATCGTATATTATGGCACAGCCATCGGTGCGGCTGCCTGTCTTCTTTTTATACACATATTCCAAGCGCTTGCCACTGCTGGCTCTTAAACGTTGCACCAGCATGGGTAAGTGATCGAATTGCATCTCCTGCAAGCATAGTATGTCTGGATCCAATTTGTGAATCTCACGATGAATATTCTGCAAACGATGTCGCCACGTTAGCCACTCCTGCTTGATATTCACATAGAGAAAGAAGTGCTCCATTAGCAGGTCCTGAGCGAGTATGTTGTACGATAGCAGCTTTATTTTCGAGAGTGAATTAGCCTCATAGTTTGACATTAGCTTCCATTCGCGATTGAAATCGTAGCGTTGCTCCATTTTCCGGCTTGGCTGGCGCCTACTATACAAGTTGTTGCGTATGAATTGTATTCTCATGCTTAGTGGTCGGAGTCGGGATTTATACATTGGGTATAATTACACGGATGTTAGATATGTAAAGCAATTGTATTCCCTATTCCGACCAGAAAATATAAACAACGCCAGCCAATGACCGTCTTTACACTAATATTGTTTTGACATTCGCATTGCAGTGCATATTTAATTGCCATCCACACATCGATAACAATAATTGTTATCGAACATTTCGACAGTGACCGCACTATAGTAAAAAAATGTATAATTCAAATGTTATTTTTGGAATCACAAGTATTTTTAACATTGGCTTCTGTGTCTATTAATTGAAGGACATGATTAGAAAATATTTTTCACGTATTGCAGGCGAGCTCACGTCTCACCCCTGAGGAACAATTACACAATGTAGAGCTGCCATCGGATAGTTTCGACTGCGTTGATGCTCCCAGCAGACGTTTGCAACGCTCAACAACAACTATACAACGGCAGTATCGTACTCTTGAGCGGGAGCCAATTTACTCTGAAATTGAAGAGGATTGTATGCTCGTAAGCGGCAGTCCACAATTTGATGTGCGCACTGAAGCGCATCTTAAAGTAGCACCAACACCAACACCAACACCTGAACCGACACCTACGCCAACTCAAACACCTACAGTCACGCCCACGCCCACTACAACTGCAACAGTGCCTGGAACAATTAGTGAGCCGACACCCTTGTCCTCACCTGTGCTACCAGTAGATATCACTGCACTCTATGCCCAAGTGCAAAAGGCCAACAAGACGCCATCGAAGGCAACACCCGCAAAGGCTGCGCCTCCACCCAGAGCACTGGGACAATTTCTGCAGGAGTCCTTGCAGAATGGCAGCTTCTTTCAGTTTATGCCGTTGCCCGATGAGCCCACCAGCGACAGCTCATACCTCATGTCCAACTCGAATAGCATCTCGAATCAGGCGACCTTGCCAATGCATCAATCGCTAAACAACATTAGCGAACAGCATTCGCCGCCCAAAAAGAACCGTAATTTAAGCAAATCGGAGCTATCGCTGCAGCGCAGCGAGATATTCCTAGAGAATCTCTGTCGTAGCGAAATTGTGCTGGACCCGGATGATAATGTGCGACTGGAAAAGGTGCAAAACGTAAGTACTCAATTAATTCTATATAAAACTTTCAATATAAATAAACAAAAACTATCTCCCGATAGACCTGCCTGAGAGCAAATCCAGCTGCAGATGATGTGTCGTATGACATACCTGTAGAACTGTATGGAGACTATATGCTCGATGATCGCAACGCCAGTGGCAGCTCCTTTGCCACCAAATATGGATCTGTGCAGCTAGAGCCGCCGCCTCCATCCTCCGATAATCAAAGTACGCCAAAGAAACAGCAGCGCTTTACGACTAAGGTAGAGATTTTTGTTGATACTCATTAGCCAACGCACACTTTCGCTGTATACATACATTTATCAAGAAATCCCTGTACAGTTATATCACATATTATAAATTAGTTATAAACAAAACGACAAAAACACTTTCTGCTTGCTTCTTCTTTGCTTTGCCAACACACATTTTAACTAAGTTTAGTATATGCTAACCATTGCCTTGCGCCCAATTTATTTTAGCCCAGCATTGATATCAATGATGGTCCGTCAGTGTCAGGGCAGACTGTAAGCCACAGCTGCCCAACAACACCACAGCAGCACGAGCAGCTGCCGTCCTTGAAGCCGTCGCATAGCAGCCTAACTGAGCTGCCAGGCAATGAGAGTCAGCTGTTATCCATGAGCACCATGGCGCGTTACCGTATGTTGAAGGATGCAGTGCGTCGCTCGTATCGCAAGGGCAAAGACTTCTTGCTGGCCGAGAAGCAGCGACTTGCTCAGAATCTGAGCATGTCCCGCGATCAGTCCAATCAAACGGAAACTGAGTTGGACAGCAGCAGCTACTATGCCAGCTTCAATCTGGACTCGCTGCTCAATGAATCGCTGACGATGAAGGAGCAGCTGGCTCAGGCTGTCAGCATTTGCCGCCAAATGCCCGAACTGGAAATCTCGCCGGAAATGGTGGAGGCGGAGCGTTTGCTGCTCTTCAGCTCGTTGAGGCAAAAGACGGAGCCGTCAATTATCGAAAGGGAGGCAACTCTAGCTGTGCGTCAGCAGTCGCAGTGCCTCCTCCTGGATGGTTTGTATTTACCCGTCAAATCGGATGGTAACCAAGATATGTTCTTCAACTACTATTACATCTGCACCATCGAATGTGAGGGTCGTATACGCTCCACCCAATCCATTGAGTGCCAGAATGGAGCTGCTATATTTCGCGATTGTGGATTGGAGTTCTATAGCGCTGGTGAAGCGGAGGCGCTGGAGCTGCACTGCCAAATTTTCATGCTGCGTCTGCGTAAAGTGTCGACGCTGTCGCTGGAGCCGTCCAACAAGCTGGTAGATCAATTCTTTGTTTCTCCTGTCAATCCTTACTCATGTATAATTCTTTTTAGAAACGAGGCAGTGGCAGCCTTGGCTCTAGCAGTTCCTCCAGCAGCTGCTCGCAGATTGTCTCACGCTTCCGTCTGCACGCCTCGTTTTCGTTGAAAGCCGCGGATCTGGTCCCTTACGAGCTGGTCTCCAGTGAAACGCAACCAAGTGATAAATTGTGGCTGCGCACCTCTCGCACCTGGCAACTGCCGCTGACGCCACACACCAAATCGTCGAATCTGATGCCACAAATCCAGTTGAGTGGGCGCGTGGAGCTGCGTTTGCCCAAATCGCAATATGCCGGCTATCTGAATGTGCAGGACACGGATCCAAGGAACAAGCACAATTGGAATCGTCGCTGGTGCACGCTGGACGGACTGCATCTGGCCGTTTGGCAGTACGAGCACAATCTCAGCGAGCAGCCGCCGCTGCTGTCGCTGCAGCTGGGCGAGTGCAGGCAATCGCAATTGGATGTCGCGCCACGAGAGCTGTGCGCACGTGCTCGCAGCTTCTGGCTGCAGTGCCCCAATGGCGAGGCATTCTTTGCAGCGGATACCCAAGCGGAGCTGGTCGAATGGCTGCGCAGGCTAAATGAAGCGTTGGCCTTCACCAAGCGCTGGTTAAGTGCCTCTTAGCAATTATTTGATATAATTTATATATTTTTAATATAATTATTATGCGCTTAAGTGGTGCCTCTTAGCAATTAGTTGTTATAAGTGAGCTATTATTATATTTTTATATATTCATCATAAGTTTTTATAATTGTAGTTTTGTAATTGTTATATATGAAAGTTTCTATACATTCTTTTTGTATATATATACGGCAGACTTTATCTAGTCTAAGCTACAGTCATCTGCAAACAATTCGTAGTCAGCGACAACTTGCCAGGTAAACATTCCTTGACTGAAACGTGTTGGATTCCATTCAAATATCATCAAATTCATCAACATTCTTGTGCATTAACTATTATATAGTATAATACATTAAAGTAGATACATACATATCTATATAGGTGCACAACAACAACAGTTTATTACATACATAATTTACATGAAGTACAATAATAGTATATAAAGAGAGAGAGATATATATATATTTAATATATGTTATATTTGTGCGGATTACAATATGGTACATAGTGTTAGATAATTTTTATATAATTTATAGTTCAGATAACTCTCACGGCTGACGCATTAGATATATTGTTAGTTATAGGTATATATATATAGTGTATATGCTTTGTAAATCCATTTGCTCGATTACGGCGCAAAACATAAGTGTTGAGGTTATCTTTGTTGTGGTAATTTGTTTTGTCCAGCAATTTACATACTTAAATTGTATAATTAATAAATTACTACTATTGATTTTTGCTATCAATTTAACTTGGGTCTCTTTATCAAAAAATCTGTCTATTGTTTTGGTTTTGATTTTGGTATTCTGTTACACTGTTGCTCTATAGGTTCTAGGGTCTTGGTTCTACATATTTATTCACTATGTTTTATTTATTTCTTTTGGATATGCCGATACGCCTCTCAGATATACGTTGCTGCTGCTGGTAGAGAGCTCTTCCGGGTTTTTGGCAATCGAACAATATCTCAAGCCAAAACATATTTCCATACGCGATTCGTCTGGTGATTGGTGCCCGTCTCCGTCACGTAGAGAGCCGATCCATTCACACTGACGGCTATCGAGTGGGGATTCTTGAACTCGCCCCAGTGTCCAATAATTGTCTCGGAGCGTGGATCTATGGTGAAGCCGCGAACTGGCAGCATCGAGGTGGGTCCATTCACAGCAAAGACAATGTCGCCATAGCCACTGACACCAAAGACGCGACCCAGATCCGGTTCCTGGATGGTGGCAGCCGGTTGACCCTCGCCATGCGATGACTTCAGGCCAGCTCTGTAATTTTGTTAAAGAGCATATTAATATTTAAGTGTTACACGTATGATATTTCAACATCCACTTCTCTTCTCTTGAATTGTCTTTCTGTATCTTTGATTATCTTTCTGACACTTCTTTACTCTCTATTCTCCTCATCTTGTTTTTCTCTTAGTCTTGGGCCTTCTCTTTTTAGAGTTCAGTCTCACGTAAAACTTCTCTCTTTGTTTCTTCTCGGCTTTTACTTCACTATATCTCCCTATCTCCTCTCTTATCTTTGTCTACCCTCCATTGATAATTTCTTTTATCAGCTCTGTACTCTCTTACTTGGGGCACACAACACGCATATTCTCACGATCCGCAATGCACAGTAAATCCAAGTGTTCCAATAAGGTAATGGCGTGTGGCACTTGCAAGGAGAGGAATTCTGCAAGCATTTGGAATATTATATATAAATTTATACTAGACGAATATTACGTATACGCACCCGGTGGCTGTGGAATGCTGCGCAGCAATTTGCCAGCCGCATTGAACTTCAGTATGCGACTGTTACAGTAGCCATCAGCTATAAAGAACTGCAATAAAAAACTAGAATTTGTACAGACTTGCATTAAATATTCATGGTACCCACCTCGCCTGTTGTGGCGACAGCTATTGAAGTGGGTTTGCACAGATGCTTGACCGAGGAGCCGGGTCGGAAGCGTTTGCCTATGACCAGTTGCGGTTTGCTCTCAAAGGGTCGGAACTGTAATTGATGCAATATGTTTATAGCAAGCATATATGCAATAAAAACGTTGAGCTCACCTTGAATGCCTGATGCATAGCCACATCAGTTATCCAGTAGTTTCCATGTCCATCTATAGTCATGCCATGAGGCATATAGAACATTTCCGAGCCCCAGCCGGTTTTAATGGCGCCCGTCTTTGGATCTAGCACATAAATGGTTTTCTCCTTAATTGGTCCATACTCAATCAAATAGTAGATGTTGCTCTCATTGAAGGTGCTACAAGAGAAAAGAGAGTATAAATATATGCGAAACAAACACTTGTTAGCGGACAGCTGTTGACCTACTTAACATCCCAGTAGCGGTCAGCGCGATGAAAAATCACTGGGTTGCCCTCTGGATCAACAGAAACAGCTGTGACTTGGCCAAAGCTATGCTGATCTGTTGGCCAATTCTCGACCAGCACTGGAACGGGCACATTAGCTGCAGGTATGGGCACATTGTCATAGCTACGTTGATTCTGCAGCGCCACTTCATCGCCCGCCAAAGGCAGCGGCTTGCTCTACAAAAAGGTTGAGAGGAAGGCCGATAGTCAGCGGGAGGGCAAGAGTGAAAGAAGAAATGCCACAATAGCAGAGCTGCAACTTACCTCCATGCGTCGCTTGATGAGCTCCCTGACCTCATCGAAGAAACGCTCGTTGAGGTTTAAGGCAGCCTCTGGCAGGTGGTTGCCCCCAATCGCCGATATTTCGGCTAATGCCAGCGCCAGCAGCGCTACGAAAAAGTAGCCTCGCATTGTGTGTGATTTCGATTTATATTTACTATCTTTGCACAATTCTCGTAATGAAACTGATGCTCGTTTATTTGCACACAATTTTGTAAGGCTTTGACTGCCCTAACATCTGTTGGAGTTGTCTATATGTTGAGCTGGCAATAACTAAAATCACTCGGGGCCAACATACGCACAGCACCTACACTTTTCGCTTTCATTGCAAACGCATGCGCCTCTCCTGTACTGTGGTTCGCATAGGCTAAAAACAGGTGAAATTTATATGCTGGCCAGTTCTGCTAAGAGCTTGTGCCACGGTGGCACGAGCACAGCTTGAAGAACGCTGATTGAAAAACGTTATATTGATTTTCCAATTGGCCAAACAATCGAGCGCCAAAAGTTAGGCAACAAAAAATAAGACCGCCTAATGCAAATGGTCGATAGTTTTATTTATGCACACAAAACGATAACACAATATTCAATAATGAACTAACTCACACAGATAGGCGTGCAAGTGTGTGGATGTGTTCTAAGTGCATTCGAGCGCTTCGCATTTATCGATACTTTATACTGCGCAATTAACTTTAAAGAATTGGCTATATTCAAATGTCGATAAATACATTAGCACCACAAAGCTATATAATTTGTTGCTAATATTTATAGTAAATGAGCATGTGATGGCTTGGTTGCCATTTTAGAATATTTGTTGAAAGCCACTTGGGAAATGGTCGCATACTATCAGCAGCGAGTGTAGCTGCCATTGGTGCTGGTCTATGTTATTGTTATTGGTGTTGTTGTTGTTGGTAATTTAACTGTTATGATATGTTTGACGTCACGCACTCAACGCTCGACGGTGCCCAACGCCAGTTGCGTCCAAATATAGCCGGTATCTGTCATAGAACAATACGCATTATAATAGCGTCCTGGCGAGCTGAAAATAGAGATTGTACGATTACATGTAATTCGCACTGATAAGATAATTCTATAACACATACCGGCAATAGGAATACTGGGGACACTTGCACCGAAACAGATTTTGGAACTCCTCCTTGCACACCTCGTTCCACCAGCAGGTGCGCTATAAATGCATTGGTAAATCCAAGTGGACCTTTAATTTGTTGCAATTGATACCTCAGTCATGTAACCATGTACGCTCTGGTCCGAGTAGCGTTTGTTTGAGTTGCGCCCGTCCTCGCTGGCGTGCAGTGGAGTCAGCGCCACGAGCAGCATCAGCATGACCAGCAGCCAACCTCCATATCCTCCATGTCCTCCATATCCACCATGTCTGGGCAGGCTAAACGTCACGGGCAGCGCCTGCAAAGCAAGCGAAATAGTAAAATAAAATGCACACATAACTTGCAACCTTTTATTGTGTCGCACCTCTTGCATTGCGTTGCGTTTCGTAATTGATGTTTTTGTTATGCTCTTTTCGCCTCCTGTTCGCGTATCACATGACGCAGGAGCAGACACACAGACATGCAGACACGCAGCCACGCTTACACAGATAACACACAGTCACACACACAAGCACAGACAGCGAGTTGCCCGCTGTTTTGGCTTTGGCCTACTTTTGGGCGTCGCTCGGCTTCAAGTCGGTTTCCCTATATTTCACGCACACGCACAAATACACACATACACACGTAAAACGTGAATCGTGGACCAATATGGGGGCTACTGGTGGTGGTGCATATAAAAACAGGGTGTTTCTGCTAAGAAAGAAAAACAAAATTGAGATGTTAGAAAAGGAGAGAAGAGAAAGAATGTGAATATAAATGATCAATATAATTTTTTTTTTTTTTTTAAATAAGATGATCAATGAAAATACTCATTATTAATTTAATGTTTACGCCTCAAATAAGAAATCAACGACATCTTGGATACGTCACAGCGCTTGTCTAACAGACGCATAGTGACTCAGCAGCAGATGCCTAAAATAATCTAAAAACTCATTTATTTGCCAAAATATTTTAATAGGTGGCATCAAATGATTTTCAACAGGTTGAATTGGGAAAATATTTCCTATCGAGCGGCTGTAAGGCCATATATAAGTAGCTCAACGTAGGTGTTTACTTCTATGGGATTAGTAAGAAATTAACGTAAATATATTCTGATTCTGGCAACTTCTAAGACTTTAAATTTTCCATAAAAAAGCAATACATTTGAAAACATTTGGGCAATTCTCTAGTAAATTAGCTTCCATATATATGTATGTGCTTAAGAGATTATACAAATAATTGCATGCATCATGGTTTGGCTTGTTTGAACAGCATTTTCCCAATGGTCTGTGGAACATTTAAGTTCTATATAGAATTTTCCATGCAGAGGCGTCAGTGCACACGTCTTTCCGCAAAAAAGAAACAAAAACAAACACACAAACAACCAAAGACCTAAAAAAAACATCAAAGATGCTCATTAAACATATCCTATAAGAAGAATTTTATATAAATTTTTACGAATATAAGAAAGTGATATATTAAAAAATAATATTATTTAATGATTATTAAGACATCAAATATATATTTTTCATTCAGTAACAATTTACAAATATTTTGCATTTATATTACTTTAATCAGACATTTACTAAAATTTTTCAGTTTTCCTCAAGATCTATTTACAGGGTATATTTTGTAGTTTGCATTTGTACAAGCAATATATTTGGCCAAACACGAGATATACATGGCACAGAGTCATAAATATATATAAAAACTATATATATAGATATAAATTCATGTGGATGACGCTGGGCTAAATTTAGAAGGCAAATACATTTTCATATTTTTAGCGCATAGAGAAGCGAATGTAAACAGTCGAATGCGATGCTATAAAACTGAGCAGACTTTTCGAAATGTTCCACAAAAACGTTGCAGCCGCGAAACGGAAAATACGAAAATTCTACATTCTGTGATTAATTGGATTAATTAACAAAGGTACGAAAGGTAGCCAAATCATACAAAAAGAAAAAAGAAACAGATTATAAATAGAAAATATATGAAAATTCAACCGTTTCGGATTATAGATAACTGCCATTAGCTTGTTATCTCCCTTTTCTTCTTCAAATAGATGTCCGTTGTTCCTCTAATGTTCCGTGATTGGTGGGATGAGATTGACTTTCCAATGCGCACATCGCGCCTATTGGATCAACACTTTGGCCAGGGTCTGAAACGGGATGATCTTTTGTCCTCCGTTTGGAACTCTCGCCCCACTGTGCTGCGCTCGGGCTATCTGCGTCCGTGGCAGCGCTCTGTGAACAGTTTGCAGCGACAGGAATCGGGCTCCACTCTGAACATCGACAACGAGAAGTTCGAAGTGATTCTCGATGTGCAGCAGTTCTCGCCGAATGAGATTACAGTGAAAGTATCCGATAAATTTGTCATAGTCGAGGGCAAGCACGAGGAGAAACAGGACGAGCATGGCTTCGTAGCCAGACAGTTCTCCAGACGTTATCAGCTGCCAGGTGGGTTTCACTGGAATGAATTTGTCCCCTCTACTATATATATTATATCCACTTTCTGTTACCTATTGCAGCTGATGTCAATCCAGACACTGTCACCTCATCCCTGTCCTCAGATGGCCTGCTGACCATTACGGCGCCCATGAAGAAATTGCCCCCGCCCACCACGGAGCGCCTAGTGCAAATCACACAGACTGGACCCTCCTCCAAGGAGGATAACGCCAAGAAGGTCGAAACCACAACGCAATAAGCAACCATTATTTATTAAAAGAAGCCTTTTTATACCAATATGAGAATTAGAATAGGTTTATACGAATTTACTATTGGAAGTATTTAATGTATTTAGAATGAGAAACGGCAAGTCCTGTGCTATTTGTAACGCTGCTAAAGAATAGTAAAAATAAAATTTTAATTCATATATTTATTCTGCTTATGAATATGATATCTTTGATATCTTAAAGATATTGTAGGGTGAAAGACAGGGATTTGGGGCATTTCCCTTTTATTTAAATTATGCAAATGATCGACTTTTGCTGATAGTTTTTAGCTTATGAAAAAACCCTAAAAATCCAAAAAATGCAATTGTAATATTTATACATTTAACATAAATAAATACTTAATAAATTTCCCTTCAATATCTTCATAAACCGTTCGAACCAACCTCGTTTATAATACATTTCGTACATTCCAATTAAAGCAGAACTATTGCTAATTACATCAGCCTCTTCAAGAGCTATCTATAGCGACATGTATGCATTTTAGGCATTACACCACTTTAGGTATTACATGAAATTTTCATTCACACAAAATATTGTAATTTATTTCGAAATGTGATCCATAAAAAACTATCAAACAGAACTAAAAACTATAAAATTGAGCATTTATATATGTGTGTTTATGTATTTCATTTCTTTGTTGCTTCGGGCGCCTTGGTGTCGGTCTTCGTCTTCAGGTTCTTGAGTTGTTCCTTTTGCTGAAATAGACAAGAAATTAAGAATAAGTGAAGTTATAAATAAGAAAAGAAAATTGTTTTGTTCATATATTATTTCTTGCGACTTCAACTTCATTCAAGCCCCTTTCGTCTATATAGTTTTATTTTTAAGTACCGACCTGCTTATAGAAGAACTCCTCCTCGCGCGCAGCTTCCATTTTGCCAAACGATCCACCAGCTTCGCGTATGGAGCCGCCTGCGCCCCCACCTTTGCCCGCACCGCTGCCCAGCTCGCCCACATGCGACATTCTCAAGTATCTAATAAACAAATAAATATAAATATAAGTATATGTGAATATTCGCAAACAGGTAGATAGAGAGTGAATGAGAGAGAGAGAGGAAGATCGAGAGTGAGAGCGAGAGAGCTTATGCAATCTCGCTGCTCTGATGGAACTTACTGAATTTGTTTTGGATACAGATGTTGACTGATGCGGCGCAGTGTAAACATATTGATTTATATACCGGCAGCTAATATAGTATATTACTGAAGTATATATATATATGTTTTTATGTATATATATATATGTTTTAGGTAGTAATATACGATGAGTGATCGTTGCTCTTTATTTCATGGTATTATGAAAATCTCAGCTGCTTGTGCATTGTCCGTTCGGAATGGTATTAATTTTGCGGGCCCTGCCAACTTGTTGTAAGACTTGCGAATTTAAACGAGGGAAAAATTTGAATTGTGAATTGAAAATACTGCTCTGCTGCCTAATTCAGAGCATTCCAACACAATTTGCATACGAAACGAGAAACAACAAGAAATTGCGTCCAAATTAGTTGAAAATGACAAGAATGTTTTTTGGATATCAATTTGTTTTTTTCTAAATTTCCTTTGGATTTTTGAACATTCATTTGGATTTGCCAATTACTTTGCCTATGATTCATCGTCATCGATTGGATCGTCCTTTCCACGATTATGCAAAACCTTTAAACATTCGGTGCTCTAGAAAGGGCGATGGTGAGAGGGACAGAGAGGGAGAGACAGGAGGAAATAGAGATGTTTGTTCATCATTTTCCATATTTACCTCATTCAAGAAGAATGCCTCTTCATGCATGTCCTTGTATTTGTTTATACAAGTTGTATTATAGAGAGCAGCATGATCTAATGTACGTTGATACTCCTCGTATTTGCGCATATAGTCTGCGGTCTTCGAGGACTCAATATGTTTGCGTATATTGGACATTAATCCGTGATTGATCGAGCTAAAGTATTCTTCTTCCTTGATGCCACCTTGCAACTTACCGAGACCGCCGCCCAGCAGAAATACATTTGAAGGTAAAGTGCTCTTCGACTCTGAGTAACGTCTGTGGGGAGGGATTATCGTTGAGCTAGCATTATCCGGATGTGCGGATTGGGACTTACGCGTAATTTAGAATAGAGGCTTGTGTGCGTCGAAACAAACCAGCGGGAAACATTTTTGCGTCTTTATATATAATAATTTATGTATATTTTATATATATAAATGTACGTGTATATATATTTTATAAACATATATATATTATATTTTGAATGTTTGGCACGATTATAAAAACTTTCTGGGTTGATAACAAATGCTAAAGGCATCTAAATTTACTGTCAGAGAAAGTAGATCAAAATAAAAAATTTTGTAAAATGAAAGTAGCAATAAAAAAAAACATCACAGAACTCCGCGAAAACTACATCCCGATATCGGTAAGTTCTTTTTACAATTGAGTCGATTATTATAGCTGTTGATTACGTCGATTAGTAAGAATTAAACGTACGTAATATTCCCGCATACATACATATACATATGTATATACATATCTACCTACCTATATGTACATGTCTGTAGGCGTATGCATATGTATATGTATATGTATATGCATATATATTCCATACATACATACATGTATCGTATCCTATACATATGTACGAAAGTTCTTAAATGCATCCATTCACCAAAGACATCCAACCAGTGGTGATAAACGGAAGACCTCAGTCGAAACTGGAGCCGCCCAAATCAAAGTCAGCGGCTGCGCTCGTGAAACGCAAGAACCGCAATGCACGCAGAAAGAGCCACTATCAGCATCATCATAATAGCAACAACAGCAGCGGCAATAACAGCAGCGGAAATATTAGCAGCGGCAACAACAGCAGCAGCTGCAGCAGCAACCAAAACAACAACGATGATAATGATGATCATGACAACAGCGTTGGGCATCATGACGATGATCTGGCCAAGGAGCCGTGTCAATTTGTGCCCGTGCGTCGCAAGCCGCTCGGTGAATATATGAATTTGGAGGGACCAACTCTAACAGCTACAGCTCCGGCGGCAGCGGCGGCAGCAGCAGCCGCAACAACAGGAGCTACAGCAATAACAACAGCAACCACAACAGCAACACCAGTAGCACCATCTCCAGCAGCAACGTCATCATCATCATTGCCATCGACGGCAATGCAGGGCATGCGAATGAGCTATGCGGCAGCCGTACAAACTGGATTGGGTGTGAAAGTAATGATATCGCCGCGTCTCAAAAAATTTAATAACAAGCCTGGCAGCAAGGGTCAAAAGGCCAACAACCACAATAACAATCATCATAATAATAATAGTAAGATAATCGCTGACACAAAGTTTCGAATATTTGATGAGCAACCACATAAGCCGCACATTGTCCGAGTCGATCCAAAAGTGTTTCGTGCTGATGTTGAGGCTATGAAAGGAGCTGCACGATTGAAGACAACCAAATCGAAAAAGGCATCGGCAGCAGCAGCAGCAACAGCAACAGCAACAACATCAACTCCAAGAATCCTCACATTGAAAACAAGCGAGCTGCCAACTAAGCCGAAAGCTAAATCGGAAGATGCTGAGATTAAAGAGCTTGAATTGCAATTCAAAGAACTGGCATGCAATACGGATGACACCGCTGCCATTGCGGAAGACGTGATGCAGACAGCTAGGAATTTGAATTCAATTCAAGGCAGTTCATCAACAGCATCGAATGACAGCCAGGGCGCACCAATCAACCAGCACCACAACACCATCAACAATAACAACAACAATGTGAAATCACCGACATTTGTGGATTCGATCAGCTATTTAAGCTTTCATCATGAGCGATTGCAGCAGATAGTCAAAAATCAAAGCATTTGCGTCATTTGCTTACAATCGCCAGAACCAATGAAGATACCACAATTTGAGGACAAACATTTTAAATATCTCGAGGAAGCTTCACTTTTGGCACAAAATCGCACCATGCTACGCTTATGGCTGAACTCTGATCAACTGATATGCTAGTAAACATTTTTCAGACAGATAAATTTTTAAAGTTATATTAGTTATATTGTGTGTTCTAAGTTATGCCTGTTGACTAAACACTAAATTGAAACGCAACGGCCAAACAATAAACTTGGCCTGCCTATGCAGTGGCCGATAATATAGTATTTTTCGTTTTATTTGCAATACTCACATCCAAAAATACCACATATAATATATCGATATATTGTTTGTATATCTGTATATGAATATGAATTAATTTATTTGTAAGATGGCCTGGTCACATTGTATTTAGGTTGATTATTTTCCTTATTTTGCAAGTGTAAAAATGTTGTGTTGTGAAAAGCGCAATTTAATTGCAATGCCTATATAGTTTGTCAACCAGCTAGTGGCTAATGTGCATGGCAATAATGTTAACCGTTTGACGGCATTATACCAACTGCATGGCAGCGCCTGTCTAGCCAAACAGCAGCCCCAGCACAAACTGAAGGCGTGTGAACGAAGCGAGCGAGCGAGCGTGTCAGCGCAGAGCGGAGCGGTGTGTATGTGGAGTGAGGAGTGAGGAGCGGAGCGCAGCGCGTTTTCTGTGTGTTTTGTGTGTGTATATAATGGACAAGTTAAAAAACAACAACAAAGAACATGCAGTTATTGCATCAATTGAGTGCTCCTATACCAATGCTGCTGAAACCGATGTCGATGTGGAAAGCAATAAGAGCACGCCCACACCATATTTTACGCCCCTCGAATATCTACAGACCTCCTTTGAGTTCCCATCGCCCACAACTCCATCTGCAGCAGCGACATCTGATGCATGCGATGAGGAGCCACTCTATACACCGAAACAGTTTACAGTTTGTAATCCTAAGCAGCAGCCGCAGCAGCAACACTCAGCGCAATTGCCGCAATCGCCGACGACGCTAAATCGTAAATTTAAGCGATTTTCCTTATACGATCGACGTTCATGTTCGCCGCAGGACGCAGGTCGGATATTTGCCAACAAGGAGAATACGATACCAAAAAAATGCGGCACCGATAACGATCACGATAGTTTGTATTTATCGAAAAGCGAACACAACTCACCCACAATCCTTTTTAGAGATGATAGCTCAACGACGACAACAACAACAACGTCAACGTCAACAACAACGCCAAATCTCCTTAGCGATTCGAGCCGGCACAGCTACTCACCCAAGTTGCTCGCCTCCATAAATAATTTGAATTTGAATCATTCTTTGAGCGGCTCCCCGCTCAACATCATTAATTCGGCTGGCTATAAAAATGGCAATTTCTTTCGCTTTCCCGAAATCGATCATGTGGTGCAGGATATGGTGGTGCAGCAGTCGCCACCGATTGCTGCCCTGGCAGCCGAAGAGCCTGACAATCAGCAACAGCAACAACAGCAAGCAAAGCAAGCTGTCACAGCCGAAACGGGTCGACGCAATCGCAAGAATAAGAACAATCTCACCATACGCATCACAGATGTGCAGCTGGCCAAGCCGTTATCGCCCTCCAAGCCAAAGACGCCCACGATCAAGAGCACCAAGGAGAAGGCACGCTCTCTGGACTCTGCTGCCAACGAGACGGAGCTGTCGATTGTGGTGCACCCGATCAATGAATCTCATCCCATGCCGGGCAGCAGTGGCGGTTATGGATATGGATATGGATATGGCCACAGCCCTGGTCAGGCCATGAATCAAAGCAATATGTTAATGCAGCCAACGGCCTCCAGTTTGCACTCCACCTCGCTCTCACGTCTGGATACCCAGCAGTCGCTGCACAGTCGACGCACCACGCGTCGCAAATCACCTGGCTTGAATAGCAGCGATTGGCAAATGTATCATCGCAAACAGAATCCATATCAGACCTCACTGGATGCCGATGAACAGAAGTCGGCCTCGAGTGTCGACAGCAGCAGCACCAGCGGGAAATTCACACTGGGAGCCACTCTGGCACCACGAAGCGCACACAAATTAAATCCCATGCTGCACTCATCCAGCACCAACTTGAAAACGTTGCCCGAGTGCTTGACCTTGGTAGAGTTTACGCCGTGCACAGCGGCTGTGGAGTCGCCCTTTAAGCAAAAGTCGATGGATTTGCCCGGCAAGAGCGTCGGTCACGGCTCGATGAATCTTCTGCAGCGTCGTGGCTCGAATCACAGTCTCACCTTGAATCTGCACAGCTCTTGTGGCAATCTAATGAATAGCAGCTTGAGTGTCTCGAATTATAGCTTGGGCTCAGTCAGCAACTCGAAGTCCAGTTGCAATCTGGAGCAGCAACAACCGCACAGTCAACAGCAGCCACAGCCGCTTAATCAATTAACTGTCGCTGCGGGCAGCGGGCAGGGTGTGCGTCAGGGTCTGTTTCGGCGGCGTGGATCCAATCACAGCATCACCTTGCAGAGTCACACGACCAACTCGTGCGGGGAGCTCAACTCCATGGCCAATCAGACGACGCCGAAGCGCGGCCTGCTCGAGCGGCGGGGCAGCAACCAAAGCCTAACGCTCAATATGGGCGGCCAGCTGAGTACAGCAGGCGGTGGAGGAGGAGCACTGGATCCAACGCAACCCAAGTTGACTGTCTGCAGCTGTGGTGCAGCGAATGCCGCTCAGGCGACGCATCAGCGCAAGTTCTTCAGCACCGAGAACCTGAATAGCAATCGTGGCGGCAATAGCTCACAATATTTGGACTTCAAGCAGCCGCTGTGCTTTGGCTCGGCCTCCGATCTGCAGCCCAGCGAGCAGTCGAAGAACAAATCGCCCATAGGAACTGACGAGACGGGCGTTGTGCTCTGCACCTGTGCAGCTGGCGGTGGCGGCGGCGGCGGCATCCGGAATATCATGACACGTCCGCTCTCACCGCAGACGACGAGCGAGGAGTTCAAAATCTATTTGGCTAGCATACAGATGCTGCAGAGTGCCTCGAATCCGCTGAATCAGTACGATTTGATCAAGCTGAATCACGTGTTCGATCACAGCTACAAAGCGAACTTGGAGCAGCCGCCGGTGTTGGTGTTGGGACGTGAAGGCGGCACGCCCACAAATCAAGTGCCGCCCACATCCGAAGACAGCGAACTGCTGAACTTGTACCAGACGGTGGTGAAGCGAATCGTAACACCCTTGCCACATCTGGACGATGATGAACAGAAGCGTATATTTCGTGACTTGCATAAGGAATTTTGGGACTTGCCGTTAAATCATCAGGAGAAGCCCATGGTATTAGGTTCGCAGACAAAGAATCGATACAAAACGATTCTGCCCAATGAGCATTCGCGCGTTATACTTGAGAGTGAGGCGACGGAGCTACTGAATTTGCAGAGCTGCTCTCTGCTGCAGCCTCAAACTGCAAGCGAGGAGCTGACGAGCAAAACGACGCTGCTGGCCAACGAGGAGTTGCCCTACATCAATGCCAATTACATCAAGGTAGGACTTTAGTTATGAACTTGCATATCCATCTAATAAACTTGAATTCGTTTTCAGGGCCCGGACTATGTGTCCAAGTGCTACGTGGCCACGCAGGGACCGCTGCCGAACACCATTTTCGAGTTTTGGCTGATGATCTATCAGAATACACAGCGGTATATACGACGTTGCATGGATGGAGGCAGCAGTCCGCACGTAGATCGAACTCACATCTTGCAGCAGTATTATCAAAAGATCGTAATGCTGACTAATTTCACGGAGTGCAATCGACAGAAGTGTGCCGTCTATTTTCCCATCGAGCTGAACGAGATCTTTGCGGTGGCCGCCAAGGGCGAGGTCTTTGAGTTGAGCGCGCAGGCACGCGCCTATTTTGAGCCGCATCTGATGTCGATGCAGGAGAGCGACGAGTCTGGAACTAGTCTCGGCAGTGAACTGCAACCGGAACGGGAGCAGCTCAACAATCGCTGGCACATAGCCATCGATTCGCAGAAGGTGACGCTGACCGAGTCGCTGCGTCGCTCACTGCCCGCCACTGGGAGTTTCTTTTTGGCCAAAAACGTGGGCATTGTGCGACGAAATGGTTATTCTGTGCGCAAGCTCATCCTGCTCTACTGCATCAATGTGCCGGATAGTGTGGGCCTGCTGGACTATCATCTGCAAAAGATTTGCTGCTATCATTATTGGTATCCCGATTGGCCCGATCACCATTCGCCGCGGGATATCAACACCTTGTTGGACACCTGCTTGCATGTGCTGAATCTTGGCAAGTGCGAGTCGGAATTCGACAATTACGATGACAAGCGGAGCACACGGAATGCACATCTGAGCGCCCAACGTTTGGAAATCTACAAGCAGGACATCTTTAATGCGGTGCAGCCGTTGCCCGTGATACACTGCTCGGCGGGCATTGGACGCACCGGTTGCTTCACGGCCATACTGAATGCAGTGCGTCAGCTGCGACAATCGTTGGCCTACTCTCTGACTGGGATGCTGACCAAAACGCTGACCATCAAGGATATGCAGTGCTCACAATACGGCAGCGACGAGGATACCGAATCTAGCTTTAGCTGCAATACTCTATTGCATATACAGCACATTGTTGAGCAGCCGGATGCCGTTAGCTTCGATCAGTTGCCCAAGATGCCGGACATCTTTGTGGATATCTTGGGCATTGTCTGCAATCTGCGTCTGCAACGGGGCGGCATGGTTCAAAACTCTGAACAGTACGAGCTAATACATCGAGCCATTTGTCTCTATTTGAAGCGCACTTTGGCGCTGCGACGTTTTTAGATTAGTTACAAATTGAATACAGATAATTGATGACAATGTTTAACAACATAATGACGACGACGATGATGATGATGATGATGATGATTAAGATATAGTTGTAGATGATGATGATGAAGTTGCAGAAGAACAAAACACCAATTTACTATTTGTAAAAGAAACCTTTTTGTGAACCTTATTTAAAAAAAAAAAGCAAACAAAAAAAATGTAAAAAAAAATTAGAAAAAACAACAGAAGAAACCCAACAACAACAAATGCGAATAACCATGGCTAAAAGAGTCTCGAACATTATATACTTATATACATAAAGCAAGATAATGAAAATCGGAATATAGTTATATATAGCAGACACACGATGCGTGTGCTATGTGAACTTATTATCTATTACTACACATTATTATGATTACGAACTATTATTATTATTATTATAATTATTATGATGATGATTATTATAAATGTTTATTAAGTGTTTTTTGAATGTATGTGGTGTGCATGTATAATGTATGTACATAAGTGTAAATGTTTTTTCCATTTTTTTCGGTGTGAGCAACAAACAAACAAAAGAAAAACAAAACAAACCCTATGCTTAAAACAACAACAACAACTACAAACTACATTTAATTCAACTTATTAATTACCTTACCCTAACAAACAAAAAACACACAGACAACAATTAACAGACAGCAACAACAACAACTGTGAGTTGATAATCTTTTGTTGGGGTTTACCGTGAAAAGCTCAAACCCCTTTATCAAGTTGTCTCGAAGCTTCGCGCTTCGTTTCTAACTGACTAAAACACCAATTTTCACGGCATTTTCCCAACTGTCAGCTCGACAGCTGTTGTTGTTGTTTGCTATTATAAGGGCCGAAATCCATAGTAACAGCTAGAGTTCTTTCATGACAAAAACAAAACAAAATTATATAAAGATAAACAAAAAAGCAAAACAAGAATAATTGAAACTTGAAAACTTGTATTAATGTTTATGCAATGGAACTAGTCAAATAAAACTTAGAAACATTTTAAATGTAATTATAAATGTGTAAAAAAAATTGCGTTTTCATGGGTTGGTTTAATGGGCAGAAGTGATTTAATATAGTTAACTAAGGTATATATAACTAAAGTACATTAATTCATATATTTCGATTTTTTCTCCAATGCTAAGATCTGTTATCAGATCCTTCTTGCATCTTAATAGATGAATTATTTACGTTAATATAATTTTTTAATACAGAATCTATGATACTTTCAAAGTTTTCATTTTCTTATGGTTCTCTAATTTGAAGTATATATCAAAACAATTTTTGCTGACATTTTCATTAAAACAATAATAAAAACAAATTATTGAATTAAAATGCTAAATTAACATTGTTTAATGTGATTAACTAAAATATACATCAATTTAACAATAACAATTTGATTATAAATAATTTTGTTGTCTAGCTTATCTCCTCTAAATTTCTATGCTCGAGCGGGCAAAATCAGCCCCTTGCGGTCATTGACGGGTTAAAGCATCAACAGCTGATTATGTTTGTCTGGCTAAAGTCCATTGCGAAGCAACATTTGTATTTTGGACCGGTAATTTAGTGATTAAACATTTCTCTTTTAAGTGATTTGCACTAATTGTGATGTGGGGACTCATAACAGTCCGACGTGGACATTTCACCGCCAGGTACTTAAGATTATACAGCAATAGTATGCAGGTAAGCGGAAGAGCAATGGAAAAATCTTTGACAAAAGTAATTTAAATTGATTTATGTATGTGTGCCATGACCAGGTGAAAGTGTCTGTAAAGCAAGGCGTCCTAGTTGGACAACGACAGCAGCTGCCCAGTGGTTTGCAATATGAGAGCTTTCTCGGTGTGCCCTACGCCCAACCACCTGTGGGTGAGTTGCGTTTTCGGGTGAGTGCGCCAGCTGAGAAAATTGTTGACATTGACTAACACCCTGACCCACTTAGAGTCCGCTGCCATTGGAGCGTTTTCCACAGCCAGAGCTGGATTGCAGCAAAGAAGGCAATGTCTCGCATCAGCGGGATCCATTTACCCTGGAGGTAGTTGGTTCTGAAAATTGTCTGTTCCTCAATATCTATGTGCCCAAGAGCAAGTCACAAAAGCCGCTGCCCGTCATGGTCTGGATTCATGGTGGAGGCTTCTGGTTTGGCAATGGCAACAGAGATTAGTGAGTGAAATCTCAAAGATTTAATTTAAAGATTTAACCCTAACCTTACCTTTTCTAATTACAGTCACTTTCCTGCGCAGCTCATGCAAGAGGAGGTCATTGTGGTTACCCTCAATTATCGCCTTGGCGCTTTGGGATTTCTCAGCCTACCAGAACCAGGCATCTATGGTAATGCGGGTCTGAAGGATCAACGCTTGGCACTGCAGTGGGTGCACGAGAACATTGCCAACTTCAATGGTGATCCACAGAATGTTACCCTCTTCGGGGAGAGTGCGGGTGGTGCCTCGGTGCATCTGCACACGTATGCGGCGCATGCCAACAAGCTGTTCCACAAGGCCATCATGCAGAGTGGCACCGCTAACATGGATTGGGTGTTCCAGGAAAATGCTTCATTCAAGGCGCGTCGCCTTGGTGAACTGTTGCAGGGCAGGAATATAGAGAACGATAGCAAGTTACTGGAGTTTCTGCAATCCGAGGCGGCGACGCCGTTGGCAATGCTGGCGAAAACATTGGATGTGTTGACTCCAGAGGAACGTCGTCGGCAGCTGCCGCTGGCTTTTAAGCCCGTCATCGAAGATCCAAGCAGTCCGGATAGCTTCATAACTACGCCGATTCTGGACTTAATGCATGAGAAGGAGCGCTTGGGAGGCATGCCTCTTCTAATGGGCTATAATTCGGGCGAGGGCATAGCCATGATTGTGCCTGCCAAGCGTAAGCTGGAGCTTTACAACGAGGATTTGGCGCGCATGGTACCTCGCAATCTAGTTGTAAAAGCGGAAGCACCAGAGGCACTTCAGGCAGCCGAAGATATGCGTCAATTCTACTTCAATGGACAGGATGTGACGGTCGAGAACTTGGTCGATATCTTCACGGATTTTTACTTTAACATCGATGCTCAGCACGCTGCTGAGATTCATGCCAACTGCCAGAGGAGTTCCCCGCTCTACTTCTATCGCTTCGACTATGTGGGCGGACGGAATCTATACAAAAACCTGTTCCAAGCTAATGATTTGCGTGGAGCATCACACGGCGATGAACTGTTTTATCTATTTCAAATGGCAGAGGACGATACTAAGCTGGAGCCTGCGGATGCGGAGATGTCGCAACGTTTGTGTCACATGTGGGCGAACTTTGCCAAGCATGGTAAGCCCTCAGACAGCTGGACACCAGTACAAAGGCAAAAGAGGAGCGCCAATGGAGAGCTAGAACCCTTCCAATTGGACTATATGCAAATTGATAGGGAAATCAAAATGCAACGAAATCCAGATGCGGAGCGTATCGATTTTTGGCGCAGCATGTACAAAAGATATAGATCAAAATGCTATGCAGAATTAAGGGCTAAATTGTAACGGATATTTACCAGAACTATATATACCTCTGATATTGCTATTTCAAATTGAGTAATTGTATATCGATACATATGTAGTATTTTTCAAAACATAAAGTATTTAACTCCGATAGATAATAGTACGTTGTATATATCGATAATAAGAAGACCCATCAGCTGTTTATCTTTGAGTGCATAGATCATTGATAAACAAATTCAAAATCAAGTTGAAATTTTCAACTGTTGCATTTCCTAGGTACATACCTATACATGTGAATACATATTTGCATGTAAAAATGCGCTTCTTATTTGCCATGCGATCTGGTTATTATACAACCAATAACCTTCGTTTATACAGCACTCTGAAGGTACGATATAAGAGACCCCATTGAAAAGTTTGAAAGTTGTAATTCATTAATTGACTTACAGGTGAAGGTGCCTGTGAGACAAGGCATTGTTGTTGGCACACAAGAAAAACTGCCCAATGGCGTAGTATACAGAAGTTTTTTGGGCGTGCCCTATGCAGAACCACCCGTAGGAGGGCTGCGTTTTCGGGTGGGTGAACCAAGCGAACATATTGATCATCTACTGCCATTTCACGTATGTATATTAGAGCCCTGTGCCGCTGGAACGATTCACAAAGGATGAGTTGGACTGCAGCAAAGAAGGCGACGTGTCACATCAGCGCGATCCTCTCAAGCAACAAGTGATTGGTTCCGAAAACTGTCTATTCCTCAATATCTATGCGCCCAAGAGCAAGTCGCAGAAACCTATGCCCGTCATGGTTTGGATTCATGGTGGAGGCTTCTGGTTTGGTAGTGGTAACCGAGATTAGTGAGTGAAACCGCTTAGAATAAATTTAAATATATTGATCTAATCTTACCTTAATCTTTTCCTATTTACAGTTACTTTCCTGCGCAGCTCATGCAAGAGGAGGTCATTGTGGTTACCCTCAATTATCGCCTTGGCGCTTTGGGATTTCTCAGCCTACCAGAACCAGGCATCTATGGTAATGCGGGTCTGAAGGATCAACGCTTGGCACTGCAGTGGGTGCACGATAACATTTCCAACTTCAATGGTGATCCACAGAATGTTACCCTCTTCGGGGAGAGCGCTGGAGGCTCTTCTGTTCATTTGCATATGTATGGCGCGCATGCCAATAAGCTGTTCCACAAGGCCATCATGCAGAGTGGCACAGGCAATTCGGAGTGGGTACTCCAGGAAAATGGCTCGTTTAAGGCGCGACGTTTGGGCGAACTGCTGCAGGGCAAAAAGATAGAAGACGATAGAAAATTGCTGGAATTTCTGCAATCGGAGGCGGCGTCTCCATTGGCGATGTTAAGTAAAACCTTGGACGTGCTGACTGCTGATGAGCGTCGACGTCATCTACCTTTTTCCTTCAAGCCAGTTATGGAGGATCCAAGGAGCCCAGATAGCATGCTAAACAAGCCATTCATTGATCTATTGCATAACAGGAAGAGACTGCCTAAGATGCCCGTGCTATTAGGTTACAATTCGGCAGAAGGCATAGTTCTGATTACAAATCCCAAGCAAAAAGTGGAGCTCTTCGATAAGGATATGGCGCGCTTAGTCCCACGTAACTTGGTGGAGGATCCGGAGGCGCCCGAGGCGTTAGAAGCAGCGGAAGACATACGTCAATTTTATTTTAATGGAAAGTCGCTCACGATGGAATGCATTGATAATCTGGTTGACCTGCTCGGCGACGTGCACTTCATCCTCGATCTTCAGCACACAGCAGAGGTTTACGCAAATTACCAGAAAGCGCCCTTCTACTTCTATCGCTTCGACTATGTGGGCGGACGAAATATATACAAAAAGGCCTTTAATGCTGACAAACTGCGTGGAGCCTCGCACGCCGATGAGCTATCCTACCTATTCCAATGGTATAATGATACGTCTCCCATAGCTGCAGATGATGCTCAGATTTCGAAACGTATGGCCCATATGTGGGCTAACTTTGCGAAATATGGCAAGCCAGCAGATAACTGGGAACCAGTTCAGAAGCAAAATAGAAATGCGAAAGGAATTCTCGATGCTTATCAATTGGATTATATGCAACTAGATCGAGAGTGTGAAATGCAACTGAATCCAGATGGAGAGCGTATGGATTTCTGGCGTAGTATGTATAAAAGATATAAGCCGCAATGCTATGAAGCGTTGATAGCCAAAATGTGAAAGATATTACATAGATATTAACTGTTATGATCTTATTTTAAATTAAATAAATTCATTGTTTATAAAATTTACATAATTTCGATAGATAATATTATTATTACCTTAATACTCAAGTATCGGGGAATTTACATATATTTTAGGTAATTAAAGTTATTAATTTACGAAAAACAAGTACTATTTGAATATCAACTATATCGATACTTTTCACTTTTAGTACCATCGATATCTAAAAATACTGTAGCTTAGTCGTGCAATAGGTAAATAACATAAAAAATACATCGACTATGTAAATAAATGGATATCGATAGTTAGTGGTTGGTTATTGTAAGTTAGTCATGGGTGCATTGTTTGGGAAATCTAGTAAAAAGACAGCTCCAAGTCGCATTACAGAGCAAGACAAGGCCGTCCTGGTAAATACAACATATCCTAAAGATGTCTGTTAATCGTAACATGTATTAATTCCTTGATAAACTGTAGCAATTGAAGCAACAACGGGATCGTCTGAAGCAGTACCAAAAACGCATCGAGCTACAGCTGGAAAATGATAGATTGCTCGCAAGGAAGTGCCTGCAGCAGGGTAGAAAAGAGTAAGTAGCGTAATATGTACACAAGAACAATTTTTATCATTAACAATTATTGTATTACACAATAGTCGCGCAAAGCTCCTGCTGCGCAAAAAGAAATACCAAGAAAGTTTGCTCACGAATGCAGACAAGCAGCTCGAAAACTTGGAGAAGTTAGCCTCCGATCTGGAATTCGCACAGGTGGAAATGAAGGTGTTGGATGGCTTGAAGCAAGGAAATGCTGCTCTGAAAAAGGTGCACGATATGCTGAGCATAGACGAGGTCGAGCGTATAATGGACGAAACACGAGAAGGCATCGAAAAGCAACAGGAAATAGATGCTATCCTAACGGATGTGCTGACCACACAAGATGAGGAAGATGTGCTCGCCGAGCTCGATGCCCTGGAGGCTGAGGAGCAAAACATTCAATTGCCGGAAGTGCCCAGTGATGAGCTGCCAGCTAAGGCAGCCGAGGACGATGTGGAGGAACTGGGGGATGACCAGGAACAAGAGCCAGAGAAAGCTGCAACCAAAGCGAGCAAAACGAAAGCAAAGAAGATACTAGTGGAGGCCTAGACGTTAAAAATGCCATTTTCTTTATTCAACTAAGCTTAAAGGTTTTTTTATATATGTATTTGTACATATAATCTGTATATGTCGCGAGTCCTATGTGAAAGATATATATTTTGATATAAGAATATTCCATGCAACTTGTAAACATTAACAGACCAGCCTATGTATGTATAATGACAAGAGCAGAAGCGAGATTAGAGGGCAGCTGGTGAATTGATGGAGAGTGTAGATGTTTTGTGAACAAGGACGAGCAGATGAAATCACCCAAATAGCAACAGATTTAATGAAGGAGGCCGGAGAGCCATGTTCTTTATTCATCTGAGCTTAAGCCCTATTTATAGAGCCTATATAACTTACGAACATACATATGTATGTAAATATGTGTATACTTACACACATACATTTATACATATACATATGTAAATAAGATCATTTACAGGGCACCCTCCAACGCTCCAGCGTTGAGTTTTGTGGTGCGACGCACATCTTCCCTAAGCCTTGAACGCAAACTCTTGTTCTCAAGGCGCAGACTCTCAATCTCCTCGAGCAGCAAACAGTTCTCGTTGAACAGTTTGTCGTACTTCCTCTGCACGGTCTTGTCCTCGGCGACAGACTTGTAGCGCGCCAGAACGGATTCGATTTGCTTGCGCTGCCGGAGGAACTCGTCTTTGACCTCGGCATCGAGCGTAACAAAACGCTTCAGCTCATCATCGCTGGCATGTTTGTGGAACAGCTCCTTGACGGCCTTCTTCAATCCCTCCGCCGTGTTCACCTCGCCGGCCACATAGAAGATGTCCGTACAGATCGAGTTGAGGCATTCCCTGGCGGACTTGGCACGATGTCGCTCCGTGCGCAGCTCGGCCGCATTGCTCAGATACTTATCACGCATCTCCTTGAGCTGCAGCTCCAGCTGAATGTTGTTCTGGTTGAGGCCCTCCAGTTCGTGCTCCATTTCGATGATGTGCTTGCGCTTGTCGTTGATCTGGAATTCGCGCGGCTCGATCTGTGCCTTGAGCTCGGCGATCTTGTGATTGAGCACCTGCTTGTATTTGTCCAGCTCTTGGTTCTTGTGCAGCAGCTCCTGGATGCGCTTCTCCTTGGCACCAATGGCATAATCACGATCCGATATATCCTTTTGCAGATCCTCGATATTGCGCAGTTGCTTTTGCATCTTCATTTGTGACTTGATGTGCTCCTCCTTCAATGTCTCCACCTCCTCCAGCAGCGTCTCAATCTCATGGCACTGCGCTTCGTATTTCTTTTGGAGCACACCCGCCTTGCCGCGCCACATCTGCGTCTCGTTCCGCTCTGTGGTCAGTTTATTCTCGTACTCCGTTTGGGTGGCGACCATGTTGCGATCGTTCTCCGCCTCCACCTCTTGGCAGTACTTGATGAACTCATCCTTCTTGTCCTGCATCTCCTTCATCAGCTCGCGGATGAGATCCTTGCGCTCGTCCAGCTGCTTCTTGTAATCGTTCTCGAGCGCCTCAATCGTATCCTGCAGCGTGCCCGTCGAGTTCTTCAGCTTGTCCTCGTAGCTCTCGCGCAGCTCCAGCATGTTCTCTCGCAGATTGGTGAACTTCTGGTATTCGATGAGCATCCGCTCCGAATACTGGCTGGCCAATACGTCCATCTGGGAGCGATGATCCTGCTTCATGTCGTTGATCTGGAATGTTATCAGATTCATTTCCTCCGTGTGCTTCGATACAATCTCATTGTTCAGCTCCTTGAGCTCCTCGAGAGCGCTGCAATAGCTGCGATGCACCTCCTGCAGCTGCTGTCCATCAAAGATCTCGTTCTGACTCAGCTGATATTGGAACTCCTCCGCCTGCTGCTTCAGACGTAACTCCAGATTCGTGATTTGCTCCACTTTGTCGCTGAGCTGGGTGCGTGGTATCAAAACCTCTTGGCTCTTCAGCAAATCCTGATCGATGGGCGCCACCCTGTCCTCAATGTTCTCCAAGCTCCAAATGGCCACGGTACCACGCTTCGATATGGCCACCAGCATCGATCCGTCATAGGTGAATCTCAACTTATTGATGGGGCCATCGAAGAAGCGGAAATTGGTGAATGTGCCGCCGCCTGCCTCGAGGAAAGGCAGCTGCATATTGAACAAGCCGCCCTCATGATCCGTTATGAACATAATGAGATCTGAGCGGGCCAGGCACATGTCGGAAACGGATCCCTTATTGCGGGATGGCACAGTTATTTCACGTTGCAGTGTCGCGTCTTGGAACTCGCGTATGGTGCCATGATTGGTGCCCGCAAAGATGACCATTGGGTCGTTGAAGCTAACGCAGATCGTCACGTACTCCGTGCCCTTCTGCACGATCTCCTGCAGTCGGGCGCCCGTCTCAATGTCCCACTGGTAAATGGCGCCCTCGGCTCCACCAGAAATCAAGTACTTATCCGTCTTCGTCCAGGCCACAGATAAGACATTGCCATTGTGTCCCTTCAAGTGGATGACCACATCGAGGCTGTATACCGATGTCACACTAATATTATTATCATAGGCAGCAGCCATCAAGTGTCCAAAATTCGAGTATTTCACATCGTTGCAGTGCGGAAAGTTGTATGTCTTGACGATCTAAACGGGAGCACGAGAGCGAGCGAGAGAGAGGGAGAGTCAGTTAAAATCGAGAATGTTATTAATGTTCATTAAAAATATATTAATTAATTTAATGATGATTATTTTACTTTATAATGGCATGAAACTAAAAATTAAATAAACTTTTAAATAATTTTATAAAAGTTTATAAATAAAATGCACTTAAATAAATACACTAATTTATAAATACACTCACAAAGTAATTTATATAAATTCGCCCAACTATGCTACGTCACACTGCGACTGTCCTGCTCGAGCTCTGACACGATACTAAAAGCGATCTGCAGCAAATGCACTATTTATAGCTGACTCCCACTCATATGCAGAGAGCAACTAAAGAGACACTCTTTTAAAATGGCGACCAACAGAACAGCTGAGCACACACACCGACTGCCTGCTCGAGCTCAGACACGACACTAACGACGATCTGCAGCAACTGCACTTTTATAGCTAAGCCTCACTCAAAACGCATTCCGCTCAAAATACAGAAGCAGTCAGAGAGCCTTACTCAAAATGGCGAGCAGCTTATGCCGCTCACTGCTTATGTGGAGAGCAACTAAAGAGACACTCTTTTAAAATGGCGGCCAACAGAACAGCTGAGCACACACACCGACTGTCCTGCTCGAGCTCTGACACGGCACTAACGATGATCTGCAGCAACTGCACTTTTATAGCTAAGCCTCAAAACGAATTCCACTCAAAGTAAAGAAGCAGTCAGAGAGCCTTACTCAAAATGGCAAACAGCTTATGCCTTATGCATACTGGAGAGCAGCTCAGAGCGCACTTTAAAAATGGCGATTGGCGATTGGTTAATTGTCGATTGGTCAATGTAACACTCAATATGGGGAATAACTCAGTCGCAGAGTGAAAGGGGAGTATGGAGAGTTTTTAACATAAACAAGCAAGGTTAATAATTGGTGCATTGAGATATACATGTCTACATGTCTGCACATACATGTTTATTATATTAAAACTTACGTTAAGCTCATCCATAAAGATCTGTGTGATGCGCAGCTGATCTGAGAAACCAATGGCTGCCATTAGGCCCGTAGAGTTCAGTTCGACAATATTCACATCCACCTGGAATTTGCGCACCAGCTCCACCTTGCCAGTCTCATAGTTCCAAATGCGTATCGTTTGATCCCTCGCTAGAAAAATATATATGATGATATTCTAGTAATATTCAAGAAATACTTACAGGCCGTCATTATGATGGGCTTCCAGGCGCACACCGACACATCGACTACTTCGCCGATGTGTATGAGCACGCCGAGTGGCTCGAATTTGAGCTGCTTCGTCTTCAGAGTTTCCGGAACTATGAGGATGCCCACATAGATCTGGGCGTGAGAGCAGGTCACAATAACCGTCTCCTGCTTGTGATCAATGGCCATGTTAGTGATCTGATATTGAGGCTCTGAGTAGATGGTGATGGGCACAGTCAGCACCGTCTTGCGCTCAAATTTGAACTTGGACACGCGCTCGAAGACGAAAACCTTGTTGAAAATGATGAAGGCGAAGCCGCGGCTGAAAGCCGTCATGCAGAGAACACGCCAGTCGGGCAGGATGGCTTGCTGTACAGTGGAGAAGCGCTGCTCCTGGGCCTCGCGCTCCTTATCGAACATCTCTTGATCCAACATCAGGTCCACCGTCTCCGCCGCACTCGCCTTCTGGCTCAGCTTGATTTCGCCATTTTCAACCAATATCAACATATCGCGATCGGTGCCCATCATTAGCAGATCCATGCTTAAAAATGCCATCGAGGTCACTCGAAAATTGATCTTTATGTTATTGCTGATGGTGAATCCTCGCTCCGACTTGCTCAGCAGCAGTAGAGTCTTATCGCCCGCCACAGCGACGAATCCACAGTCATTGGGATTGCCTGCAATGCACTCGGCGCTACCATGGGAGCCGGGCAATGTGGCCCTGCCCTCGATGACGGTGCTCGTCTTGTCGAGGACCAGCATGAAGACCATCTCATTGGGCGGCTTGGTGATCATTGCAATGGCACGCGAATCATTGGTGAAAATCATTTGCTGTATCGAGGCATTGCGATGATTTGCCGGCAAATCCAAATGACGGCGCTTCTTCAGCGTGGACAGCTCATAGATGGACACATAGCGACCACTAGAAGGAGAGAGGGTGGTAGTGAGGGAGTGGGGTTATGCAATCAGATTAGCTAACCATGCAGCACTCTCACTCACTTCTTTGCATGCAGCTCGAGGACAGCCATCAGTTTGCGATGCGAGCTTAAGACAATGATTTCCGCCTTGGTATCCTCGGGAAAGCGCAGGAACCTCTGCTTGTTGGTCACGTAGTCATGGAAAGCCAGAACACCCTCGACCGGATACATGACCTCCTTGGTCAAATTGAATTGTATGTTGCCCAGGACATCGGTGCGCAGGCCGTAGATTTGTTTGGGCCTGATGGACACCGAATTAACTGCAGAAGCTCGCTTTTCGTCTCCCATTTTGTACAAAAAATATATTTTCTATTGGCTGTGGCAAATGTAAATGCAATTTTTGTTGTACGTGTATCTTACTTAAGCTTAAATAATTTCGATCAAACAACGGAAGGAAGAAATTGTTAAAGTAGCCCTGACAGCAAATTCCATGGCATCCATCCAGCTGGGGGAGGCCTGGGAAATTCAACGGCAGGTTTGTTTATTTTTGTATTTGGCCTTTTTTTTTTGGTTTTTGGCGCGCAAAGCTCGCTGTAATCAAAGAGTCATGAATAAGTAATTAAACGCCTCTAAGTATGCTTTTAATTTCCTAGAACGTACTCGAGTAGCCTGCAAAAGACACCCTGCCACCGCCCAGCCCCCGCGCCCTCGTTCACCCTTCTCATTGGCGGGTCAAATAATGCGCTTAAAAACCCAAAGTTCGTCTCCTCAGTCAATCAGTCGCCCAATCAGACTGTGAGTCAACCCGCTGTCAGTTAATAAAGCCTACATCTCTCTCCCTCACACCCAACAATTATATTCGGCCACAACCGCGACCTAACACAACGCAAAAGCTTTGCAGTTAATCGAAAAGAGCGCGCATGTAAGAGCAAAAGTTCACACTGTGAGAAATTGGAAGTAAGCAAACACAATACACCAGTCGCCTGGCAGCTATTTTTGTCCACTTGCTGTAACTCGAACGATGCAGCCCTGGGAGTGCTCTCTGTGGCCTGCATGCGTAAAGAGGAACGCAACAACACGAAGGCGCGCTGCTGTTCAGTTGTAGTTTACGCGTCGGCCGCAGCACAACGCTAACGAGCAAAACGGATAAACGGTATACGAATAACGAAGATAAAACAGAAACAGAGACAGCGGCGACATAGGCGAAGCGCAGCTCCAGACTGTATGTGTTCTGCCAGCGTTTGTTCTTTAGTCTTCTGTCTGTGTTATCAGTTCAACGGCAGCGAAATACCAAATCGTCGGAGAGCAGGTGGTAGCAGCTGAGCCGGCGGCAAAAAAGCCACAAAAGAGGCCAAGTAAATTATACACTTAAAAGCAACAAATACAAATATAAATATAAATACAAATACGTGTGCAAAAATATATATTTTGCTAAGCACTTTTATCCTATGCACACACTCTCACATACATACACACACATATATATATTTTGGAGTGTCTGTTAGTGTGTGTGTGTGTGTCTGTGTGTACTTGAGCTGCCTACCTTTGGTGTCGGTGTGAGTGTGTTTGCCTGTTCGCGCCTCTCAATTAACGGCCCGGACATAGCGCGAGACTTGAGCCACATTGCTGCTGCTGCTGTTGCTATTGTTGGTGTTGTTGTTTAGCTGCATGTTAAGCCAATAAATGGCATTAAAATTAAAAAAAAAAAAAAAACCAACGATAATTGTAACGAAGCAAAGCAAATTTTAACGAAACAAACGGCCGCTAATGGACTTTGTCGATTTTATATTTCATGCAGGAAGCAGCTGCAATAACAGCAACAACAATAACAATAAGAACAAAACAATGAAAGCCAAGGTGAAACAGCCAGCAGAGATGAACGGCAGCTGTCGTAATTAAAAACTCATTTTATGCACATGTTCAATGCGAATTTCAAGTTAATGGGAAAGCGTGGGTGGGTGTGTGTGTGTGTGTGTTCATATACTATATAAATCTTATAAATCTTTTTCATCTCTGGCCATTAGCACGTAGCACGTAACGCGCCAAAATAACACGATTCCAGTATTTATAAACAAAGTTGCTGCCAGTATATAAACATACACACACACACCCACACAGAAAGAGACGTCTAGAACGGTACAAATTTGAATTTAAGTTTCGAATAGTCAAAACGCGGCAAATGATTTTTTTGAAATTTTTGTTGTTGTTGTTGTTTTCCTCTCAATTTACAAATAAATTCGCCGCTGTCGCCACGGACGCCGCAATCGCCGCCGCAGCCATCGCCGCATTGTTGCGTGAGTTGCCGCTGTCGCTGCTGCTGCTGCTGCACATGTGGAAATGTTGAAATGTGGCAATTTATTTATACGATTTATGTTATTTTTGGCCTGAAGCAACGGCGAAGTAAATTGCACGCAGCGAAATCAGTTCAACCACGCTACACACGTACATACACACAGCCATGCGGACATACATACATACAAATATGTAAAAATACTCGAGCTACTCGCTGCGATGAACCTATGACAACACAAAAGTGAGCATGTATGTGCATATGTTTGTATGTATGTACACACTGGCAAGCGACACACTTTTGAAATTCCAAAGGGAATGGCAAGCCGAAGAGAAGGACAAGAAGGAGGAGAAAGAGAGGTACAGAGCTAGCAGCAACTGCCAGAAAACGAAGGGACCTATAACAAAAGCAACATGGCGCATAGCTGCCGTTAGGGATTTGTTGAGGGTGGGGGAACTAACGAATTTTCAGCAGCAGCAGCAGCAGTAGCTCAGCTTAAAGTGCATGGCCAAGGCACGCACACAAACACACTCACACAGACACACACATGCATATGCTAGAGCGCGCTTTTGGGCGCTGAATTCGAAGCAAGTGCTTTTTTGTTTTTACGAGCAGCCCAGCAAATAATAGCATTTTATGTGTGCTCTCTACACCGCTTTACAACAATACACTGAGCGAAAAAGAGAAACTGGCCAAACGACAAAAGATAAGCCACATGCATAAAAAAAAAAGAAGAAAATGAAAAGGACAAGTGCGTACAATGCGCTTGACAAATTACATTTTACGCTCACTTAATTATGCAAATGCAATGAGTGCAACAAAGCGTGCAGCTTACGGCTATCACTCAAACGGTAAACTACAGTTAAGGGCGCTCTTAAATTTTGCGCAAGCAGCTTAAGCTGTCGTTCGCTTTTATAACTCACTCATTAATTGAGTTTGAAGTGTAGCGCAAATTGAGCTGTTTCTCTCAGTGAGCGAGTGAGCATACGTACAAACGTACACACATACACACGCACACACATACATACATTTACTGAGAATGGCTGTAGTTGAAGTTATGGCTGAATTAAGTTAAGCGCCGGACATACAAGCCTTTTGGGGTTAGTCAGCGACTAAGCTGACCTTTTTGTTAAGAGCACGCACACATGCACACGCACACGCACACAGAGACAACGGCAATTGTCTGGGGTACGCAATTTGATGTTAACACAGCTGATTGATTTATTGTCTGTTCAGTGGCTACCGCAAACACCAGCCCAACGAAAACAACAACAGAAACGCACAAAAAAAAAAAAACAGAAAAACAAAAAATTACATACAAACAACACAACGTTGATCAGCAAAATGCCAAAAGTCCTCAATAAACCGGAGTCGCAACGTGTGCAATAAAAAACAAAAATAACAAACACACACACACACACACACTCAAACATATATAGTTATAGACATGCAAGCGAAAGGGCTGCCTTATGGATACATATGTATGTATGTGTGTATGAAGCGTGCGCTTGTATGCGTGCATGTATTGTCGCCATAATTAACAGTTGCGACGACGACGACGACGACGACGTCAGCGGCGACAGCGCGTACTAGCCGCCATTTTAATTTTACGATAACTGTTTTCACCTACTTGTTTTCACTCATTCACAATGTAAGCGGAGTGCATGTGGCAGCACACACACTCAAACACACACACACACAAACTACAAACTACAATACGCTCACACACACTTGGACTTCCTCAGTGCTTCAGTTGAAAATATTCTCGCAGTGCGTCACCAGCGTCACAGAGCTGAAATTATTTTCACAGCACGTCAGCAACATGCTTTTCTATATGTACATGTGTACTACGTAGTACGTACCCCATTTGAATATATATGAAAGTAAAGGGTATTATCAAGTTGTCAATTGTATTCAAAAGACAGAAGAATGCAGTTGAAAGTGCTTGCGTCGCGACGATGAGCCCAAGTTTTTGCATAGCAAATTATTTGAATTTTATGCAAGAGAATATGAAAATTAAATACCCTAGAATTTTCTTATATTCGTATTATAGGCTATATGTATGTATATATGCATTAAAAGAGAGAGGGAAAGAGCACAAGCTATTCTTACAGGCTAACTGCTAGTTGTGCCGACTCTCGTTCATTTCCTTTCGTTCTTAAGAGTGTCAAATGAAAATTTCTTGGAAAATTAACATTTAAATTACGAGTACGCTCGCTTAAATTACAAAATGCTCTGCAATCATTTGCTTCAGCGTGCCAAGGCGCGCGTGCGATTCAAATTTAATAAAAAATTCCTTCAGCTTGTTTACATAAAATTCATGCATAATGACATCACATACATTACATTATACGCATACACACTTATATATATATTATATAGTTACTCATTCATGAAATATCATTTAGTTTGGCAATGCTGAAATTGACCAAAGAAACTCATTTACAATCAATTAAGTTTGCCCTTTGGTTCGAGGCACGTTCCGCAGCCAGTAACTGCCGTGTGACAGTTTAATGATGCCACGTATGTCACATGGAGGTACACACACATACTCACACACAGTTGGAGCGCCAGGTAGCCATTGTTACATACGTGCGGCCGTAAATCCCTGGACATCATGGCTGTACATTCAATCAATGGGCGATGTTATATACCGCATTTAAGCTACTTAAACAACTTAAATGTATCAATATTCAATGCGGCCCGTTGCCACTCAACAGCCGCCCCACCGACCCCGCTTATGACACTCCACCCTCCACTTATCCCTAACTGAAACCCATTCATGAATTATTCTGTTAGGTATTCACTTGGGTTTACTGTTTCATTTCTTTTTTTTTCGAACTTTGGAAACTTTTTGTAAGTTGAGCTAAGCTGCAAATAAATTAACTGGCGCTTAGCTCTAACTCTGTGTTGATTTGTTATCATTTAATGCCTTTGCAGACAATTGCCAACGAAATTAATTTTGTCTGAGCGCCAAGACTCGTTGAGTAGGACTCGCAATGAATTGAGAATCTGAGTGTATTTTTTATTGCAGACAAATTAATTTACTTTTCTATTCATTTGACGACTTTTCCAGAATTGCAATAAGTTGCTAAGTTTGCTTTAAGTGCTTGAGAATTGCAAATGAAGTCTACTCTAATAGAAATCAAACTGTGCTTTCATTGCAGACAAATTGATTTCTTTTTAGACAGAGCTGAATTGCTTATTTCTGCTCATTTATTGCCTGCATCAAGTTATTTGAGTTTGCCTTAATTGTTTGAGAATTTTAAATAAAGTCTGCGCTATTCAGAAATTAGCTGGACTTTGATTGTAGACAAATTGATTTCTTTTACATTTATTTACATGTATTTTATGTTTGCATTAAATTGTTTAGGTTGATTAATTGGACAGTCTATAAATTTCTTTGGTACTCTATAAATTATTAACTTAAAAATTTTAATGGGCTTTTTTAGTTCTAAGGAAAAGTCTAGAATAAACTATTGAAACATTAAAACAGCATGAAATGTGTGCGCCTATGAATGCCAAACTATAGACAGGCCATAAAACTTGGTGAATACCAATGCTATATATCACTCTAGTGCTATATATACTATATACGATATATATATATATATATATATATATATATATATATATATATATATATATATATAAATATA